CATAGGGAAAATACTCCAGATTCTCCATTTAATCCAAAACAGAGCAGCATGGTTACTGACAAGGACCAACCCTAGAGAACATATCTTGCCGGTCCTCCGCCATTTGCATTGGCTGCCTATCATTGCCCAGGCCCAAGTCAAACTGCTCACACTAACATATAAAGCTTTAAATGGCTTGAGAACAGTATATCTAAAGGAACACCTGTCTTCATATATTCCTACAAGACTACTTAGATCATCAATGGAGGCCCTCCTTGTGACCCCCGCCCCCAAATGAGGTGATGGGGGAATTGGCAAGGAAAAGGGTCTTCTCGGTCATCACACCTCACCTTTGGAATTCTTTTCCAAGGGAGATGCCACTTCATCTTGCTTTTGGTGTCAAGTTAAGACTTTTTTATTTAGTATTTGTTTTTAGATTGGATTATTGGTTTGCTGCTGGTTTATTGTGTTTATTTCCCCCCTGTTCCTATATGGGGCAGCATACAAATACAATACATACATACATACCTGCCCTTACTTTAAGTTTATTCCCAGAAACCCTACTTCAAGTGCCTTCATTCTGAGTTTAGTGGCTGGCAACAAGAGACAGAGCTTTATCAGTAGTTCCCCCTGCCCTCAGCTCTGGAATGATATTTCGAGGAAAGCTTGCCTGGTGTCTATATTGCTGTTTTTCTGGTACAGAAGAGGTAATGCTCTTCCTATTCTTACGTCTAAAGTATTTTTAGAATTACTAAAAAATCATGTGTTTTAATAATTTAATGAGGTAGCCTCTGCATTGTGACACTGTATTTTATGCTTCTTTATTGGCATGCTTTACATTGTGATTTTATTGGAATGTTCCTGTTTCATACATTTTGTAAATAAAATACATGTCTTATCTTTTGTTCCACCCATGTAGAGCTCAATTTGAGCACCTGGATATGAATTATCAATAATAACTATATGCACAATGCGATGAGAAATGGTTTTCAAACTGTCTGAAACACAGACTCCAGCGCTATGTAATCCAGCACAGACCAAGATGGGTATGGGTGGATGGAGAATATGACTTATACAAGGGAGGGCATAAATATGTCCCACATTTTGAAGGGGTATAAAAATTAATGAAGCTATTTAGAAAAAAAGTTCCATATATTTCTGAAAAGTACATAGAAACAATTTTGTTTTAATGGGTTTTAAAAATCATATCAAACAAACAGCAGCCATTGTTGGCAACACATTGCTGAAGACATTCCCAGAAGTTTTCCATCACTCTGTGGGTAATCTCAGGTGGAATGGTGTCAATTTCCTGTCTGATCCATTCCTTCAAATTCTCAAGAAATATTTTCAAAGGACAATATTTGAAAACCTTTTCCTTTAGGTATCCTGAAAGGAAAAATTTGCATGGGCTTAAATCTGGTGACCGTGCTGGCCACCTCACGTCTCCCCTTAAAGAGATCAAACACCCAGGGAACATTTCCTTCAACACTCTGAGCAAACATAGTCCTGTGTGAGCTGTGGCCCCGTCCTGTTGAAACTACACATGGTTTGTATCCACAACATCCAGTCTGGGGCGCAGAAAGGTCTCCAACATTTCAATGTACTGGTTGGAGGTCACAGTTACTGTTGCACCACCTTCCTCAATAAAATATGTTAGGCCGAGCACACCAAAGTCAGCAACTGCACACCCAACAGTTACATGAGGAGAGTGGAGTGATCATTCGTGGAGTTCACAAGCCAGTAGTGAAAATTCTGCTTGTTTATGGCTCCACTGATATGGAAGTGAGCCTCATCGCTACTCGGAAGAACAGCTGTGGCGGGAACCTGTTCAAGAATTTTCTTACTTAGAGCTCTGTGGTTGGCATGATCTCTCTCACTTAATTCTTGAACCAACACCATTTTGTAAGGATGCAGTTTTAAATTGGCATGCAGAATCCTCCTCAAACTCTGACTTGATATCCCCAGTGCTGTGGCATGCTTATGAGCGGAACACCGTGGTGATTGCTGAATGGATGCTTTTACTGCTTCCACATTTTCTGGTGTTCTACCGGTCCTTTTCAGTGTAGATTCAGTTGCCCAAAGGTTAGAAATCCATAGTAAAATCGTTTTCCAATTTGGTACAGATGCATTTCAACAGAATATGAAGCGTGTATGGAATGCTCTCTGCGTCGCTATCACAGAACGGTTGTTGTCATACTACACTTGAACAACAAACCCCTGATGTTCACTGGTCCAACTCATGATTGGTACTGAAAATGGTAGAGCCTAACCTACCAAATAAGATCTACCCTACCTCTCTACCCCCACTACAGCCCGCATAGTGCCCCCTTGAAATGTGGGAGATCTTTATGCCCCACCCTGTACTGTGTTGTCATGGATAACGTTCATTTTGCTTTTCCTGATCTTTCCTTGCACAGCTCGGCTGACTGGAAGGAAACAACTAAGTGAAGAAAAACAGACTGCAGTTTCTGGTCAGCCATGGCACTATTCCTCAGGGTTGATTGACTTAAAGCAATTTAAATCAGCACAAAGAAGGCTGTTGTGTTCAACCATTAAAACAGGATTCTCACTGAAACTATTTCATACATTTCCTGAACAAATCTGAACACTGAAGCATGTTCATTTACAAATAAACAGTATTATTTTCACTGCTATGTTCTTATAAGCAGGTTTGCAGCTGCTTGTCTCAGGTATTGTTTTTGCATGCTTTCCTCCTTTTACCTATAGAGGGAATGTCTTTGAAATAACCACATACAGATTCCATCTTAAGAATAGCACCCATAACAATCTGAAGTTAACAAGGTAATCTTGGCCAGGTCTACTCAGAAATAACTTTAACTGAGTTCAGTGGAGCTTAAACACAGGGAAGCAGTTAGAAGTTTGCAGAATGAGAATATGGAAAGATGCACACTGGCCAGTTTTGTCTTTCCTGTATTGTTCCTTTATACTTTGTTCTGGCCCAGCTTCAACCATACAAAAGTGAAGGAAGAAACAGAAATAAGACACCTTTGAAGCAATTATTTGATATTTACTGAGCAAACTAGGACAGTTTATTTTGATCAGGTAAAAGTTAAATGTGTATGTTTGGTAAGTAAAGGGCAAATATAAGAGGTTAGGCTGTAGATTTTTTCTTCTTTTTCAGAGAAAAGGCTGCTTGGACTCAGTGCATTTGGTAGAGGCATTGACTTGGTTAAGTTTAGAAATTAACTTATATACAAATTGCTGAACATTAAGATAGTTATTATTTAAAAGAAATGTAATATTTTCATAATTACTTAAAATAATTTTAACAAAAATTTAAAACGAGAAGGCTTCAGTTAAAAAACAACCTTTTCTCTGCTGTGCCCTATTGTCTTGCTGTCTTAGTGAATCCTTCTCCCTCTCCTGGCCCAGTACAGCAGCCACATAAGCCTAGCGCAACAACAGTCCCAGCAAGCCTCTTTTCCGCTGTATTAGGGTAGCCCAGAACATAGGCCCATTATGCCCCAGTGTTGTTAGCACAGATAGATGGGAGTGGGGGTGGCTAGGATTGCAGGCATTCCTAGCTCTTTTAGTGATGCCATCAACCTGCATGCAAATCAGGTGTTCTAACACTAAGCAGTAGCAAAATGTAGACCTTTCAAGGAGCAAAAACTGGTAAGCAGGGCAGAACTATTTTTATGAGAGGAAAAACTGAAATGAACATTCATGTTTGGTAGGTAACAATGTGTGAGAATGTAACAAAGGCATAAGGAGACTGTAAGTGTAGATTTAGCATGTTTATAACCATGTAACCATGCTATTTTCTTAGTGAGAAATGTAGTATTATAGTTTTAAAATATATAGTGCAATTTAAAAAATTATTTCCCCTTTCAGATAATCTGTTTTTGTCCAGGTTGCTTTTCCTCCCTTCTTCCCCAATACTTCAGCTGCTTCCTGCTAACAGCTAAGAATCATGAAGCAGAGAAATCACAAGTTGAGGAGGTTTAAATCTGTCCTCTCACTGGTCCCCTTCAATGGTGCTGTTCAGCTGATTCATGGCAAACAGCTGAGCAGCACAGAGGAGGATGGTTGGGGTGGATGGGTGAGTATCAGTGCAAGAAAGAGAAACATAGAGAGTTGATCTACTTTGAGTTTTGTCTCCACACATTGTCTGAGCCAGCCTTTGTCACATAAGGACCCTTGATCACTTTCCCAAAAGGAATGCTCCCCTTGAGGGGAAAAGCTTCCCAAGCTTCTGCCTTGAAGGGGTTGCATGATTTTCACCTCTATTAAAATATTGTTTGGTGTTCTTCCTCCTATAAATAAAGGTGGCCTGTGCACAAATCATTATGTTTGGTTGACTGGTGAAGTGCAGACTGGGACAAAAACATTTATTTAAGCTATCTTCATTGGCAAGGGCCAATTTTAATTTCTTGGTTTTCTTTTTGTTGTTTGTTGGAAGATATTTTTATGTTATTTTTATTAATTCATTTAATATCTGCACTGCACAATGGCCAGTGCTGTCTGGGTGGTATACAATAAAAATACAATAAAATACAAACATATAAAACATCATTAAATACAACATTTAAAAGCAAGTTAAAATGCATATAAAAGTTACAATAAGCTATATGAATTAATCAAACAACCTGTTCAAGTAGCTAACAAAGCTACAGTAAACTAAGTAAATGCCCTGCAGTAGAAGACAGTCTTAACCTATCGCTAAGAGGATATTAAAATTGGTGCCAGGCAGGCCTCGGTGGAGAGGTCATTCCAGAACTGAGGGGCCACCATTGAAAAAGCCAGTTATTACTCACCAAGTATCCCTTGGTAGCAGTCAGAGGAAGGTCTCAGAGCTTGGTCATAGTGTTTGGGTGGATTGAGGTCAGGATAAGCACTTTGTCAGATATTAGAATTCTTTTAATGAAAATGGAGGATATAAATTGAACTGGACAAAATACAAACTACTTCACTAATTGCAGTATGAGTTGTTTTCTGCAGAGGATGAATAGGAATAGATAAGGATGTTTAATCAGTTCTTTTTTCCTTTCTCTCTTTAGAAGGATTTGCATTTCATAAAGCAGTCACTGAAAATATGACACTGAAAGAAAGTAGGCCTCTCAAGGACTTGTCGGGACCTGTAGATGGCTCCACCCGTGTGATCACCATTGTCTTTATTGCACTCTTGATAGACCTCTTGGGTTTCACGCTTATCCTGCCACTCCTTCCTTCAATATTGGATCATTACAGCAAGAATGATGTAAGTTAGAACTAAGCCATACTTACTGAAAATGTTCTCACTCTTTAGGAATGATCTCTATCAATGAAATACAGTTGCAATGTTTTTTTTCTTTTGGATGTGGGATACTAAGCAAAAGAGGTCCCTTATTGCACTATTGTCACTGTCTTTGTGTACTAGAATTCCTAGTACAGCTCTCTGCTTGGATTATTTCTGATGAATTCTCTCTACAGATGTACATACAATCACTTGCAGCTGTGAGGAGGTTTTAAGAGATGCTTTCCTTTTCCCCAGTCTTCCTTTGAAAGGAAGTGCATACAATTTCCCTTCTCATGGAGGATTACTAGCCTTCTCTCACCTCCTCATTTCTCATGACAAGAAATGTAGACATATGTTCTGATAGCAAAGGACAACATTACTCTACCTGATCTCTTCTAAAAGACTTTTCCCTTTGGTTCCCTAACTTTGTAAGGAAAGCTATATACCATTAGTCCTATTTCCCATTTTGAAATTGAAGGAAACACATTTCGTCTCCCTATTTACAGATTCTCTTTAGCTCCATGCACAACTATGCACCAAAAGTTCATCTTGAACTAATTTTAATGTTTAAAACCGCTAATTTCTATTTAATGCAGCACCTACATTTTTTTCAATAAGTATGAACTTGAATGTACTTTTCTGAAGGTTTGATTCGCTCTATTCTCAACTTTTGTTATTGTCTAAATTGCTTTTCATATTTGTTTGATATACTTGTAAGAGTTTTATGGTCTAAAAGAAGTGTGTAAATATTTTAATTAATATGTTCTTGTATTTGTTTAAAGCATTTTCAGTCCATTCCGTGTAATACGTGTAATACTGTGGCAAGTTTTACTGCTGAGTGCCTATGTTGGCTGCTATTGTAGTGGGAGAATTTAGATTAATAATTGTGATTTTATTTTATCCTCTTTTTCTTATGCACTATCATGGGTGTTCATGACAGCAGTAAGACAATATAGGTGTTCTATTTAATGGATGTGAGTCATAAAGTTAGTACAAGAAGAATGTTAGGAATTCTTTCTTTTATGCCACAGTTTAGAATTACTAAATGAGGGAGTGGGGTAGGATTAAACTGTTCTCTTTATTTTCATCAGCTTGTTTGTGTCTGAACCCTAAGCTGCTAAGTAAAAGATAAGATAGGAAGGTGAACCAGAGATTACAAATCTTGCAAAGATGCCATGATAGCAATATGTGTAGCCCTGCCTTTATATTAAGGTTTCTGGTCTGTTGAAGTATATGTTACACCAGCACTGTTTATCCTTTTTTTCCAGACTCAGATGGGAAGCATTTGTGATCTGTCTGGTCAGAGAGACTCTTAGGATGAAACTATGTACTACATTAAAGATGTACCATTCAGCTAATCTTCACTTGTTTTTAACTTCCGCTTAAGCTTGGGGACCACTGTAGGGGAGATTTAAACCTTCCCATCCAGTCACTTCTCCATTTGCCCTGCCCACATGGGAGCTGCTTTTTTTAAAAAGTATTTTCCCTTCAGAAAGAGGTGTGGGGGAGTTAACAGGGAAATTTAAATGTCCCCAGGCTACATGTAGTCATTCTAATCTAGACTGAGGCTCTGAAGGATTTCACAGAAATCAGCAATGGATCTGCTGCATGTTACATATTTAACATGCCATGTAGTTTATCCCTTAGCTGTGGAGCACCATTAGTACAGTGTTGTGCTGTACTAGTTGATCCTTCTACATCTAACAGTTCTTGATTAGTAACTTTTATTTGGTCTGTCTTGCAGTTCAGCTTCCTGCTGGTGAAGAAAGGAAATAACACCACGTTGTACACATCTGTTAGAGGGGAATTTCATGTCCCCACAAAACTGTTAACTTTTAAAGATGTTATTGTACATTTTTTTATTTTTGTTTTAACATGCTTACACATATTTAGGAAATTCCTGCATAGATGTTCTAAGGAATAGTAATATTCTGAATATTTAAAACCAAGCTTTCAGAATAAGCCATGACTAGCTGCAGTAGCTTATAAACTAGCCCTCAGGAAGTAGTGGGGGTTGAAGCAACACACCAAGCTACCCCTTATGATTTACCCTGTTGTGTGAACCGAGTCTATGTGTAAATTAAGCCAGTTGTGAAAGCCCATTCAAGGGAATTATTCCTAGTTTCAGTTTTGAATGTAGGAGGGGAAAACTTTTCTAAGAGCAGGCAAGATTCAAAAGCCTGCTTTTGAAATATGGAGGATTAAGTTGCATAAGTTAGTGTATTTTTAGACACAATTTACTCTGGTTTCTTTTCATATTTCACAATAACCAGAAAAATACTCCCTGTCGAAGAATCACGTGGCTGGAGCAGGGAAAGGCATGCAGTTCCCTTGCCTTACCTAAATAGTTCCCCTAAATTCATTCCATCTGTATGCCTTGTTTTTCCTCCACAGGATGGTTTCTACATGACACTGCAGCATGGAGTGGAGTGGTTCACTAAAGCAGTTGGTGTACCTGCTGAAAAGAAGTACCACAGTGTCTTATTTGGAGGTATGACAGAAGTTTCAGTACAGCTGGTTTAAGAACAATAATTAGGTCTGTTTATACTTTGTGAGAAATGCAGAACCACATACATCTGGTAGTAATGGCAATTTGGCCATCTCTGAGAGTGTACTGGCTTGCTGCATCCACCTCTTCTCCATTTGCACAGAAGGGTTGGAGTGGACTGGCTTAAGGAAGCACGATATTGGATGCTGGCACTGCTCATTTGCCAGCTCAGTCTCCACAGTTGTGATTAATGGAGGAAAGGAAATTAGAAGCCGCTTAAATGACCTAAGAGGCCAGGAAAACTAGAAGAGGAGAGGATGAAGGAGAAGGAAAATTCAGAGGAAGAGCTGTTGAAGGAAAACTGGTTACAAACCATCAAGGTGTGCTAAGGGTATGGGGTTGTGGGGACAAACAGAGAACAAGATGAAGTTAAGGAACCAAGATTCAATTTGGAAGGAACCAAGCTCAAGGAACCAAGATTCAATTTGGATGCCAGGAAGTACTTCCTGACAGTTAAGACCCTTAGGGTATGGAATGGGCTTCCACAGGAAGTGGTTGAGGCCCCATCAGTGAGAGTGTTCAAGGATATGCTTGACATTCACATGGTAGGCATGTTGTGAGCGGAGCTGGGTAGAGCCGGGGGTCAGACTAGATGGCCTGAGAGACCCCTTCTGACTCTCTGTTTCTATGTTTCTAAATAGAAGAAGGCACAACTCATTCACTTAGGTGGTAATTGAATTTTTTTGTTTAGAAATATAAACATACAAAATAAATACAGAATAAAAACATACTAAAATACAAGGATAATAATAATAATAATAATAGAAAATCCATTATTTAGAATTCAGTTACATAGTCTTAATACCACAGCATTGAATACTGACTTTCTTCTGGTGTACCAGAGTTGTGTGGGGTCAATTGTCCTTACAAATCAAACAAATGATATAACCTAACTGAATTATCTTCTGAAAACAAAATATACTAGTCTCAGGCACTGAGTAAAAATGGTAAGAATTGGGCACCATTTTTATAGTTCACTTTCCCATCAGCTTTAAACCATGAACTTTATGCTTATTACGTCCTGAAATTTATGTTATGTTAGTCGCGAAGTCGTGTCCAACCCATAGTGACCCCTTGGACGACATTCCTCCAGGCTCTCCTGTCTTCCACCATCCCCCAGAGTCCAGCCAAGCTCACACCAACTGCTTCAGTGAATCCATCTAGCCACCACATTCTCTGCCATCCCCTTCTTTTACCATCAGTTGTTCCCAGCATTAGGCTCTTCTCCAGGGAGTCCTTCCTTCTCATTATGTGGCCAAAGTACTTGAGTTTCATCTTCAATATCTGGCCTTCTAAAGAGCACTCAGGTTTGATCTCTAAGACTGACTGGCTTGATCTCCTTGCAGTCCAAGGGACTCACAGGAGTATTCTCCAGCACCACAGTTCAAAGGCGCTCAACCTTCCTTATGGTCCAGCTTTCACAGCCATACATTGCACTGGGAAAACCATAGCCTTGACTATACACACTTTTGTTGGCAGGGTGATGTCTCTGCTTTTTAGTATGCTGTCCAGATTTGCCATAGCTTTCCTCCGCAGGAGCAAGCATCTTTTAATTTCTTGCCTGCAGTCCCTATCTGCGGTGATCTTGGATCCCAGAAAAATAAAATTTGTCACTACCTCCATTTCTTCCCCATCTATTTCCAGGAAGTGATAGGACCAGATGCCATAATGTTAGTTTTCTTTATGTTGAGTTTCAAGCCAGCTTTTATGCTCTCCTCTTTTATCCACATAAGAGGCTCTTTAGTTCCTCTTCACTTTCTGCCATTAGAGTGGTATTGTCTACATATATGAGGTTGTTGATATTTCTCCTGTCAATCTTAATTGCAGCTTGTGTATCATCTAGCCTGGCCTTTCCCATGATGTGCTCTGCATATAAGTTAAATAGGCAGGGTGACAGTATACAGCCTTGCTGAACTCCTTTCTCAATTTTGAACCAATCAGTGGTTCTGTACCCAGTTCTCACTGTTGCTTCATGACCTGCATACAGGTTTCTGAGGAGACAAATAAGATGGTCTCGTACTCCCACCTTTTGCCACAATTCGTTGTGATCCACAAAATCAAAGACTTTAGCATAGTCAGAAGCAGAAGTAGATATTTTTCTGGAACTCCCTGGCTTTCTCCATGATCCAGTGTTATGTTGATCTCTTGTTCTTCTGTCTCTTCGAAATCTTGCCTGTGATTCTGGTAGTTCTCAGTCCACATACTGCTGGAGCTTAACTTGTAGGATTTTGAGCATAACTGCTAGCATGTGAAATGAGTGCAGTGGTGCGGTAGTTTGAACATTCTTTGGCATTGCCCTTTTTCGGGATGGGAATGTAAACTGACCTTTTCCAATCCTGCGGCCACTGTTGAGTTTTCCAAATTTGCTGGCATATTGAGTGTAGCACTTTTACTGCATTGTCTTTTAAGATATTGAATAGCTCAGCTGGAATACTGTCACTTCCACTAGCTTTGTTGTTGCTCAGACTTCCTAAGGCCCATTTGACTTCACATTCCAGAATGTCTGGCTCCAGGTCAGTGACCACCCCATCGTGGTTATCAGGGACATTAAACTCTTTCTTGTATAGTTCCTCTGTATAATCTTGCCACCTTTTCTTAATCTGCCTCTGTTAGGTCCCTGCCATTTTGGTCCTTTATCATGCCCATCTTTGCATGAAACGTTCCCTTCATATCTCCAATTTTCTTGAAGAAATCTCTGATCCTCTCTATTCTATTGTTTTCTTGTTTCTTCTATTTTTTTGCACTGTTCATTTAAGAAGGCATTCTTATCTCTTCTAGCTATTCTCTGGAATTCTGCATTCAATTGGTTGTATCTTTTTCTTTCTCCCTTGCCTTTCTCTTCCCTTCTTTCCTTAGCTATTTGTAAAGCTTCCTCAGACAGCCATTTTGCTTTCTTGCATTTCTTTTTCTTTGGGATGGTTTTAGTTGCTACCTCTTGTACAATTGTGAACCTCCATCCATAGTTCTTCAGGCACTCCGTCTATCAGATCTAATTCCTTAAATCTATTTTTCACTTCTACTGTATATTCCTCAGGAATATGATTTAGGTCATGGGTCCTCAAAATACGGCCCATGGGCTGGATCTGGCCTGCCATGCCCATTTATCCGACCTGCCTCAGATGTTTTGGACTCGCTTGAACAAAACATTCTCTGAGAGAGACCAAAGGTTCTGAGCCGGTGCTAGCGTTCTTTAAAACTGAGCAGAGAGAGAGAGCCAGCTCATGCACCAAATTGCAATAGCTCAACTGCGTGTGCACTGGCTCCCCCCCCCCCCCAATTGCACGCAGATACAGAGTGGGAGCAAGCCTCTGTGCTGCACTCAGGCCTGCCGCCTTGCCTACTGTGCACAGGCCTGCCGCCACCTCCGCCTCTTTTAACTGGAAGAGCTTTCTGGGCCCTTAGCTGCTTAGTTATGTCCACTCAAGAGGAAACAGGCAAATCAAGGAGGCATTCTTACTCCAAAAGAAGTTAGACTCCCAGAGAAGGTACAGGTCCACTGCTGGCAAAATACCAGATTAATATAGTGTGGACGAAACACAAAATAGGAAATAGAAATATGCACAAAAGCAGTAACTCCAGCTCATGCTCTCATTCATTGCAAAAAAATCCCAAAAAGCAATATAGCATCAAATCACATATATATTATATGTAATCGAGAGATTATGTATTGCTAAATGGGCAAATGTTGGGACTTCACTTTCCCTCAGACTGCTTGTTCTTTAAAATTAATTTTTAAATTTATTTAAATTTAATTAATTTTTAATGTGCAGTGTGCATAGTAATTCATTCATTTTTTCTTCAAACTATAGTCCAGCCCCCCAACAGTCTGTGGACAGTGAACTGCCCACCTGTTGAAAAAGTTTGAGGACCCCTGATTTAGGTCATACCTGAGTGGCCTAGTTTTTTTCCCTACTTTCTTCAGTTTAAGCCTAAATTTTGCAACAGGAAGCTCATGATCTGAGCCACAGCCAGCTCCTGGTCTCATTTTTACTGACTGTACAGAGCATCTCCATCTTTGGCTGCAGAGCACATAGTCACTCTGATTTCTGTGTCAACTTCAGCCTCTTCAGCATCAGTGGTTGGGGCATAGACTTGGACTACTGTGATGTTGAATGGTTTGCCTTGGATTCGAACTGAGATTTTGCTACTCCATTTCTTCTGAGGGATTCTTGCCCACAGTAGTATACATGATGGTCAACTGAATTAAATTCATCCATTCCTTTCCATTTTAGTTCACTGATTCCCAAGATGTTGATATTCAGACTTATCATCTCATGTTTGACCACGTCCAGCTTGCCTTGATTCATGGATCTTACATTCCAGGTTCCTATGGAGTATAGTTCTTTACAGCATTGGACCTTCCTTTCACCACCAGATAAATCTGCAACAGAGTGTCCTTTTGGCTTTGATGCAGTCACTTCATTCTTTCTGGTGCTACTAGTACTAGCCCTCTGCTCTTCCCCAGTAGCACATTGGACACCTTCCAACCTGAGGGGCTCATCTCCAAGCGTCATATCTCTTTGTCCCTTAGAACTGTCCATGGGGCTTTCATGGCAAGGATACTGGAGTGGGTTTCCATTTCCTTCTCCAGTGGATCACGTTTTGTCAGAGCTCTCTGCTATGACCTGACCGTCTTGGGTTGCCCTGCATGGAATAGCTCATAGCTTCATTGTGCTATGCAAGCCCCTTCGCCACAACAAGGCAGTGACCCATGAAGGGGATTCATGAAAAGCTAGATTCAAATTAAAAGGAAGGTAAACTTAAGCTGTCAAAATCAGCATCTTTCTCATAGTGCCACAGGTCTTTCCCTAGTTAAGGGTAGGTTTTGTAATGTAATGTAAAGTAATACATTTATATTTATAACCTACCTTTTTCCTTGAAGGAACCCAAAGCAATTTACATAATTCTGTTCTCCATTTTATTCTTACAATACTGTGAGATAGCTTGGGCTGAGAGACAGTGAGTGGCCCAAACTGACTCTGTCTCAAGTCCCACATGCTAACTACTATAAATCACAGGCATAGTTAAAAAAACTGCTAATATTTCCTTGTTTTTACAAAGTATTTTAACCATTCATTTGTTGGGTTTACACTCCTCCTCAGTTGTGGCCACTGGCCCCAGTTTTAGTGTCATCTGTGAATTTGATCAGCAGACTGTTCACCCCTTCTTCCATGTCATTGATGAAAAGATTAAACAGGATTGGCCCCAGGACAGAGCCCTGGGGGACCCCACTTGTCACTGGCCGCCATCCTGATGATTCCCCATTAATGGTTATCCTCTGCTTTCAGTCAGTCAGCCATGCCCTAATCCATTGGACAGTGCGTTGGTCTATCTCAAAACACCTCAATTTCTCAACCAGGATATCATGGGGCACTTTGTCAAAGGCCTTGCTGAAATCCAGGTAAACCACATCCACTGCATCCTCTCCATCTAGCCGCCTTGAAACCTTGTCATACAATTCCACAAAGTCTGTATGGCAGGACCTGTTATTGTGGAAACCGTGTTGTGTGGCTGTCAGCCTCCCTTCCCTATCTAGCATCACTAGATCTCTCTCTATTATGAGCCTTTCCATTGTTTTTCCTACAATGGATGCAAGGCTAAATGGTCTGTAATTCCCCAGGTCCCTTCTACTACCCTTTTTGAAAATTGGGGCCACTGATGCCACCCTCCAGTCCTCTGGAACTTCACCCCTTCTCCACGAGGCCTTTAAAATGGAGGCCAGCAGGCATAAGAGAACCCCTGCCAACATTCGAAGTATGCATTGTTTCAGGAAAGGTTAATTCTTCAGTTAGCTGTACTAGCTGAAACCAGTTCTCATGCTGATTCAGACTTCCTGGAGGAAACATTTAATCAAACAGAGGCCTTTCATATGCAGCATATGCCCTACCTAAGGTGGTTTTGTCTGGGGTTATAAAATGCAATGTATTTCTACGTCTTAAATGTCAGAATTGATGAAGGTTGAAGAAGCCACCCCTTGACCCACAAGATCTCTTATTTTAGAGTTATTTGAGGGCTTGCCAACTCTCAGATGGACCTTGCTGCCATAATTTGCATCCTCCCATCCCAGGGAGACTGTGGTACTCCTGCACTATAGGCAAAAAAGCTGAAAGTTAAATGAAATAAGAATGAGGCACAGTAGGCAAAGAAACCAACTCCTTTTACCCCCAGCCATCAGGAAGAAGTGGCAATCTGACATGGGCACAAAATTTTGGATATAATACTGAGTTACAGAAATGGCAAAAGTTGTGGGAAAGAAATATCAAGGTAACCTTAGCAACCTCATATAAAGAAAATCTTTATAAAAAGTTTTATAGATGGTACTTATCGCCGAATAGACTAGCAAAGATGTTTCCAAATATGTCAAATGGATGTTGGAAATGCAAACATAAACGGAGTACTTTTTATCATATGTGGTGGACTTGTGATAAGGCAAAAAATATTGGGCTAAAATACATAAATGGGTTGAGGAAATGTTACAAAACTCTTTAATATTTAAACCTGAAGGTTCTTCTTACTAGGCATTGGGCCTAATGATGTTGACAAACAGGCAATGTATTTGATTCTACATGTAATTACTGCAGCAAGGATTGTATTTGCCCAGCAATGGAGGAGTGAAGAACCACCCACTGATGAAATGATTTTAAAAAAGATTCTGGACTGTGCTGAAATGGACAGGCTGACTTTGTCTCTGAAGGAGAAAGAGGATACATACTTCTATCAAACTTGAAACTCTTTTTATTATTGGCTAGAGAAACGGGACTATGTGTAGATCTGAATATGTCTACGGATTGCTATAAAAAAAAATAGGGGGCTGACCCAGTAGGTCTGATGTCTCTGATGATTGATGTTTTCTTAGTCTCTTTTTTTAGTTTGTAGAAAATACTAATAAAACTTATTTTTAAAAAAAGGAAGAAGTGGCAATCTGGTCCCCATCTTTTCACTAGTGCAAGAATAATGAGACAAGGTCCTCGCTCTCCATGTAGGCAAAGGCAATGCTAGCTTTTTAGTAAGCATACATGCATTTGTGCATCTATGCACAACATATTTAGGATGTACAAAATGTGTACAACATTTTAGGCATACATGTAAAAATATTATGAGTGAGGACTGGCAGATTCATGTTGTATTTCATTATCATTTTTCCAGGTCTGATTGGCTCCATATTTTCTATCCTTCAGTTTCTTGCTTCTCCACTTACTGGTGCTGCATCTGATTACTTTGGGAGAAGACCAGTTATGCTGTTGACTGTGGTATGTCTATTTATGGACACAAAAATGTATATTGGTGATTTTTCTTTTACATCTCGTAACACAAAAATGGGAAAATGGGGTGTGAGGGAGAACAGCAAGAAATGCCTACAGACAGAATTTTCTTCCTGTTGATTTTCTTCACTGTCCAGCTTTCACATCCATACATCGTCTTGGGAATACAATAGTGTAGATAATCTTGGCCTTGGTCTCCAGGGAAACATCCTTACCTTTGATGATGTTTTCTAGTTCCTTCCTTGGTGCCATTCCAAGTCTCAGTCTTCTAATTTCTTGGCTGCCATCTCTGTTTTCATTGATAACTGAGCCAAGGTATGCAAAATCTTTCACAATTTCAGTTTCTTCAATGTTGACATTAATGTTGTATCATTCTTCTGTAATATTGCTATTTGTTTTTTGTCATGTTCTGCTGCAGACCTTTTATTCTGTGTGGTTGTTCTGCATTGTACATACTGACTCTATGCCTGTGCTAGGGCTGTTGTTGCTAGCTAGACTTGTTTTGGTGTGAGCTCCTTCCTTCGTGCCCCTAGTATATCTGGGAGAGGCATTCCTGCCCACTTCCTCCGTTCTCTTCCGATCGCATATTAAGAAGTGGTTTACCATTATCTTCTTGCGTCCTGAGTTTGGAGGATTATAGGCAACTGTACTGAATTGGGTCAGCACCAGGACATAGGCGGCACGTATTTATGGCTAGGACACCGGGACCAGGAGTGATGGACAGGAATGGAGGTATTAGCAGAATGTAGGGGGACCAGAGACAGAGACAAAGTCCTGATAGAAGCTGAGGTCAGATACTCAGAAGCAAAGGCAAGGTCAGAGAAGGTATGGATCAGGTACCTGGCAAGGCAGGGCCAGAAAAGAGGAAAAGGACAGAGTCAGGCATAGGTAGAAGTCAAGGCAGGATTGGAAGCTAGTTCAGGACCACAGTGCTGTCAACACAAAGACCCATATTACTGTGGCAAACCTGAGCAGCTGTGCTGCATGGTTATATGATGAGCTTTTATAGAACCTTCCAGACCTCCCAGCTGTGCTGCATGATTATATAGACTCCAGTTCTTAGATGTACCTACAGAAACCTGTTCATTCCTACAGAATGAACCACGCTGCCCTTCAAAATAATGTCACCAGGAGGAGATATGTTACTGCTTCAGGTCCTAAGAGATTGTGCCCTAAAATCTATGTCTTGAGGTATATGTTTAGATAAATGTTGTATCGTAGGGGTGTGTGTGTCTGTGTGTGATATCTTAATATGGTGCATTGTATATTGTACGCATACTTTTAATTTGCTGTCGTAAACCACCCAGAGAGCTTTGCCTATTGGGTAATATAGAAAATAAATAAATAAAGTAACTAAGATCTGGAAAATAGATAGTTTAAGTATGACAAACATTAAATTTTAAATAAAACAAAATGCAATTGAGTAGCAAAGCCAGGACTGACAGGGCTGAAGTGCCAGGAATTTGTAATTTAGCAGAGATGGTAGCATGTGCTACCCACTCTGATTTTCCTGTTCTCTCTCAATTCGCACAGTAGAATGGATTTTTCCAGCAACAGTACATTACTTTGAACAATCCCATATATTAAAGATACACACATTCCCAGTTGACACTTGGGTCAATTCCCTGTATGGTTCATTCATTTCTTATATGGAATGAACCAGGATTTTCTGTTCTTTTTAATTCTTATTCAGAAAAAAAATTGATAATGAAATTGGCACGCCTGTCTTCTTCAATGAAGTTATTCTTTTCTGCCTGTAGATTGGTCTGATAGCATCATATTTCCTGTGGGCCATTTCCAAGAGTTTTGAGCTGTTTCTTTTCTCTCGAGTAATTGGTGGAATAAGTAAAGGGAACGTCGGCCTTTCCACTGCCATAATTGCTGACTTACCGTGTCCAAAAGTTCGAAGCAAAGGCATGGTGAGTTAACAGCATGAGTTTGTACCTTTGATGAGGAGCTCTGCTATTCTGTCTTTGATCAACCACATTTGCAGTGGTTTCCCCACCATCAGCAAATAAGCCATTGAATGTGTTCACAATGAAGAATGGACTTAGATGGGATCCAAAACGTCATGAAGGTGACCAGTCACCACCCAACAAGTCAACACCCTTCAACTGTGCATTTGCGCAATGTTTATTAAGTCTCACTGGGTGCTGCTCTCCCACCCTGAAGACTGTAGGTTAGCTCCCCTCAGCTTGGCCTTAGACAAACTTTCATGCTTCTGTTTAGCCAATCTAAGAACTGGGAATGTACCTGAGAACAACTTTTAATTCTGTTCTTTTTCCTCATCATTTATCTCAGTGTAAAGTACATGGCTGGTACTGCTTGTTATAACACTGTACCTGACTGTCCAGTTCTCCTACTCTTCTTTTTATTTGATCTTATGTAAATAGTTGCCTTTGTTCCTCCAGTTTTCAGCTGCTTGCAGTCTAGTGAAATCTATAGAATAGCTAGTTACAAACAGCTTTAGATTAGTTGATTCATATTTCATCTGAATATGAATCAACTGCATAATCAACTGCTCTGCATAACTCATCACATTTGGCAAGGAGTGGACAACATTCTTGGGATGATGCTGATGGTTTATTTGTATATTGTATAATTTTGTGATATGAGCAACATATTACAATAAGATACAACAGATCAGTCAGTTAAAAACAATATGAAACAAAATCAGTGGATTACAATAAAGAGAGATTTCTCCAATGGAAAGATTAAGAGACATTTTTACCAGCCTACTGTCCCACCTATTTAGAAGCTAAAAGCCCAAATAGAGAAAAGAGATTCTAAAAAAGTCTATCTCAGTTAGGGGAATTAAAGGGTGCCTTCACCATTACTCCATTCCAACAGTCTAGGGCAAATAAGCAATCAGTATGAAGAACTAATCCCCTACCCCAACTTTTCCTTTGCATTAGTAAATTATTCCTAATTTTATTTATTGCCACAGTAGGGAAAATTCCATGGGTGCAGATCAAGATTAATGATCCCCACTTAGGCAGCCATGGGAAGCCTGTTCAAAGTACCCCAATAGCTTCCTATCCTCCTCCTCCCCCTGCAAATAGATGCCCTCCCCCCTTCAAAAAAAACGTTAGTGCAAGTGAGCTCCTTTGCAGAAGCACTCATGGGAGCATGTCAAGCCCTGGCTGTACCTGGCAGCTTCTGGGCAATGGGAGAAGCTATCTAGCTTCTGGGCCGAAAGCCTTCAGCTAGGAGAAGCTCATCAGCCAAGAGGAACCCAGGCCTCAAAGGCTCTTTGAGCACCAGAAGCTGGGATATCGAGCACTAGAAGCTGGGACTTTAAGAGTGCCAACTTTGGCCAACTGAAGGCCAGACTGGGGAAAATCTCCTGGAATAGGTTACTGGAAGGTAAGCGAGTTGAGGAGGGGTGGATAGCACTCAAAAGGGAGGTTTTGGAGGCGCAAGCCTTGATGATACCTCTAGTCAGTAAGGTGGGGAGGCGGAGGAGAGCGCCACCATGGATGCGTAAGGAGGTGGTTAGAGGGATTAGACGAAAGAGGAACCTCCGTAGGAAATGTGTACTGGGGCAAATACACAAAAGGGTATACCAGGAGGAGGAGACCCGTTGCAGGAGGATTCTTCGCAAGGCTAAGGCTGATTACGAGCTGAGACTTTCCAAGAATATCAAGAGCAACAAAAAGGCCTTCTTTCAGCAGGTAAATAGGAAGAGGAAGGGGAGACAAGTGGTGGGACCACTAAATAAGGAGGAAGGAGATCCAGTGACTGATATGAGGAAACGGGCACAGATGCTAAATGACTATTTTGCCTCAGTGTTTTCCCCAAAGCAGGATGGGAGATATCCGCATATGAGATTAGATGAGGCTGGGGACTTAGGGGAACAGATTAGAGTCACCCTCCTTGAAGTCGAGGGGCTCCTCAGGGCATTGGACATTACAAAGGCGCCAGGCCCTGACGGGTTACACCCAAGAGCACTTAGAGAGTTGGCAGGGGTACTCTCACGCCCACTGGCCTCCATTTTTGAGACCTCGTGGAGAACGGGTGAAGTTCCAGAGGACTGGAGGGTGGCATCAGTGGTTCCAATTTTCAAAAAGGGTAGTAGAAGGGACATGGGGAATTATAGACCTGTTCGCCTTACATCCATTGTAGGAAACACAATGGAAAGGCTCATAATAGAGAGAGATCTAGTGATGCTAGATAGGGAAGGGAGGCTGACAGCCACACAACACGGCTTCCGCAAAAACAGGTCCTTCCAGACAAACCTTGTGGAATTCTATGACAAGGTTTTGAGATGGCTAGATGGAGGGGATGCAGTGGATGTGGTTTACCTGGATTTCAGCAAGGCCTTTGACAAAGTGTCCCATCATATCCTGGGGAGAAACTGAGGAGTTTTGGGATACAGCAAAGCACTGTCTGGTGGATTAGGGCATGGTTGACTGACCAAAAGCAGAAGGTAACCATTAGTGGGGAATCATCGGGATGGTGGCCAGTGACAAGCGGGGTCCCCCAGGGCTCTGTCCTGGGGCCGATCCTGTTTAATCTTTTCATTAATGACATGGAAGAAAGGGTGAACAGTCTGCTGATCAAATTCGCAGACTACACTAAAACTGGAGCAGTGGCCACAACTGAGGAGCAGGTACTCCAGATCCAAAAGGATCTGGACAGACTATGGAAGTGGGCAGGAGACAACAGGATGGCGTTCAATGTGGATAAGTGCAAGGTCTTGCACTTGGGGCATAGGAATAGGTGTCATAAGTACAGGTTAGGTGAGAAGTGGCTGGAGAGCAGCACTTGTGAAAGGGACCTCGGGGTACTGGTTGACTGCAGGCTAAACATGAGTCAGCAGTGTGATGCAGTGGTCAAGAGGGTGAACGCCACCCTTGGTTGCATAGCCAGAAGTGTGGCTTCTAGATCGGGAGAGGTATTACTACCACTCTATACGACTCTGTAACAACAACAACAACAAATACGACTCTGGTGCGCCCGCAACTAGAGTATTGTGCTCAGTTTTGGGCCCCTCATTACAGAAAGGATATAGCCAGGTTAGAGTCAGTGCAGCATAGGGCCATATGGTTGGTGGCTGATTTGCAGGGGAAGCCGTATGAGGCAAAACTGAGGGAACTGGGTCTCTTCAGCCTGGAGAAGAGGAGACTCAGAGGGGATATGTTGGCAACATACCGGTATGTGAGGGGATGTCACATGGAGATTGGTAGAGACCTGTTCTCCCCTGCAGAGGAAGGCAGGACGCACTCCAATGGAGCAAAGCTCAGGGAGCCAAGGTTCCATTTGGATGCCAGGAAGCATTTCCTGACAGTTAGGACCCCGAGGGTATGGAATGGCCTTTCACGAGAGGTCATTGAGGCCCCATCAGTGCGGATGTTCAAGGATAGGCTGGATGTGCACATGGTGGGCATGTCGTGAGCGGAGCTGGCCGGTGCTGGAGGTCAGACTAGATGGCCTGGGAGGCTCCTTCTGACTCGCTCTGTTTCTATGTTTCTTCAGCTGAGAAGGGATTATTTTGGGAAAGCTCTCTCTCTTCTTAGCAAGATCCTGAACATTTCAAGCCATTTAGTGTCTGCCAGGGAGCTTCCTTTCATTTTTTCCATGAATCTTTAGGGGCTGGGAAAAGGCTTTCTTAAAGAGAAACTGAGTTGACTTTCAAGACTTGGATCCTCTTTGAAAAGGGGAATTTGAGTGGGAATTGGTGGATTTGTGCTGAGGCAAATCTCCACATCTCCAAGATTCCCCTCAAAGTCCCCACTTTAAAGGGACCCTGAATTTGACAGCCACTCTGTTGTGAGAAAGCCTCTGGGAGCGAAATCTCAGGTCTCTGCTTAGGCCTATGCAGAGAGGGAACCTGCTTCCCCTGGGCAGTGGGACCCCTTGCATGAGGCCCCAGCCAGAGGTTAAAACATTTGCATACTATGAATGGAATCAAAGCAGTTTGTGCTAATGGACATTAAAAAAAGGGTTCTGGGCCTCAAGAAAAAATCAACACACACACATATACTGGGCAATCTCCAGCCACCCTTCCAAGGAATCTGGGAAACTGCCTGTCAAACTGACTTTCCCATTATCACAAAAAAAGTTGTTAAGGTACAACACAGCCTTGTCAAGCTGAACTTGGCTCAGCCTTGTGTTGGGGGAGGAGAGGAGAGGGGGAGAGGGAGGTATCTTACTGTGTGCCCTAGGATACCACCTGGAGGACTGAGGGGGAAAGAGGGAACGAAGCACACCGTGGCCCCAGTTATTTGTTGGTTGATCAGCCTGCTCAAATCATTTCATTGTGTGTGTAATCAGTACTATATAGAACATTAATATACATTGTTTTTACTTTGTTCAATAAAAACACATGTGCAATCATACATAAATCTGTATCAAGTTGTACATGTCAGTATGAGCTGTTCCAGAAGCTCTTTTAGAGCTGCAGATCCAGGTAGAAATATTATTAAATAAATATTAACTGCTTTTCTCTAGGCAATGATAGGTGTGGCTTTCTCCTTGGGTTTTACTCTTGGTCCTATGCTTGGAGCGTACCTTACCATGGAGACAGAGAAAAGAGAAATCTTCTATGTTCGATCTGCTACATTTGCTGTCATGTTTGCTGTTACTGACTTGGCTTTCATCTTCATCTTCTTACCGGAAACACTCCCAAAAGAAAAGCGGGTAACATGTTTTGGAAGCTGATGGCAGCCACCTTGGTCTTACAGAATATAAGACCAATATAATAATATACATGCAAAATATTATCATATCATATCATAATATAATATAATATAATGAGTGAATATGCTGCTATTTTAACTTGCATCTGCTCCAAATAAAGGAGGCATTGTCTTACTCTCTTCTTTTCACAAACTTATTGCAAAATAAGTTCAGAATCCATGCCTATTAGATTCATGTAAAGTCTGTAATCCTTTGGCAAGTTCTTCATGTGTCCTATTAAAAGATTAAAGATGATGAAGTAGTTTCTGTGGTGATTTTAACATGGGCTCTCCCCACCATCACCAACCTTGGATCTGGGGTCATATATAAGGTTTATTCTGTCCAACCTTGGATCTGGGATTGGACAGAATAAACCTTATACATGACCTCTCACAGTAAGAGATAAATTCCATTGTGCTTAACATGACTTCATCCCAGAAAAGTGAGTACAGGATTGCAGCTTAACATGTCTTTGAACACCACCTAGAGAGTGAGAGCAATTTGAAAATATGACTAAAGCAATGATCTTAAGTTACTGCTTACATGATAAGTTACTGAACATGTAACTTATGTTCAGTAATCCCATCTACACCTGCAGAAGTGTGAGAGAGGGCAGTGTGAGACTGCTTATACTGGCCATGTTCCCTAGTGTTGCTGTGCATTGCTCCCCTGATTGTTGACCTTCACAAATTAGCTAGAAGATTGGAAAGGCATATGCCCATCCATGGGCTGCCTGTGCACAGACAGCTGCCTCCTCTCAAATCATATGGCTGATGTCGAGGCTTGGAGGTGCTCTGCAGATGTAATTCCCCTACTCCTTTTAAAATAATACAGCAATAATAGACTTTCGGTATTGTGTTTATGTGATCCTATAGTTCTGCTGGGACGATGTTGTTTGTGCCAAATTCAGTTTGTAATATCAATCTTTAGAAAAGATTTGATTTATATGACTTTATGTGACATTAAAAGAAAAATATACAAAAATTTATACTACCCCAAATGAAAAAAAAAGATATATAAACTGGAAAGAGTGAGAAATTGATTATTTAAAATGAAGTATAGATTTTCTATGTTCTTGTTGAAGTAGCCCTAAAATAGGGAAATTATTATAGCACATAAAATTTAAAAGAAGGAATTGCTATTACTTCTAAGAAAATTTATCTTATTTGAAGAATGTACTTCCCAAAAAAGAGGAATGGTTTTGTCTATTTTCATTTAGAACAGGAATAAAGAACCTTGTTTAGCCTGAGACCAAAGTAATTCTAGGTAAACAGGGAGCAAAGCCACATCCTGTAGTGGGTAGGGCCATCCTACTGTTGGCAGGTGTTCTCACAGTGTGATAACTACCCCCCCACACACACACACACTCACAAATAAATGCCTGGTCTCAATGGGAGTGATTTTTTGAGGGAAGTCACAGTTTTGAAAATGGACAATTAGCCCTTCCTTCTCCAACAGCACCTGTCTCATACAATTTGTCTTGGGAAAAAGTATTGATTGGTATTAGTGGAGACACTTAAAAAGCTTTACTGCAGTATAGGCAGAGGAGCAAGGTAATGGCCTTAACTCCAATTAGAGGACCTGGTGGGTTGGATAAAGACCTCTGGCCCATGGGATGGTCATTCTCCATCCCTGATTTAGATTATAATATATTTGAATATTCTTCCTAAATTGAAATGACAACTCAGATGCCTTGTTCAGACTGAAGAAATGATGGGAATAGCAGGGACAGGGCAGGATGAGTGCAAAGACAAAGACTTTTCATGATCTCTCCCAGAAAACAAATGTTGGGTGGCAGAGATAGCTGTATTTTCAACATTTGTACAAACCAAGGTGATTTCCATCACCTTCTCTTCACCACTGTGGCCATGAAAAGGCCATGAGAAGCTTCCACTTTCATTTTAGATTAACCACAGTTTAGTATGTCAGCTGAACTCTAAAATGTGGCTTGAAGTTGACTTGTGTCAAACATATAATTGATAAAATTGAACACAGATACTGGATTTGGTTAATGAAAAATGAAAGCCAAACCATTTAAATAGCACCTTACAGCTGTACTGGGAGAGTGTGCAATTCCAGGATAGGGAAGCTATGCTCATTTCCATTAATGTAAATCATGATTTACTATGGCACTGAGTATCTTACCTTAATGTCTATGCATCCCCTTATCCAGGCTTCACTTGAACTGTGCCAGAAGTTTGCTCAATGATAACGGCATACTTCCACCAAGATCCCCAGTGAAGGTTTGGCTTCCATTTTATTAACCAAATCTAATAAACTGTGGTTAATTTTATAAGTGATGCCTTTTGACATCCGTGGCATGACATAAGCAATTGCCTGTGCCTCACTGAATTCATGGATTGTCTTTGTAGTTGGCTCAAGACACTTGTCCTGGATTTGCTTGATGCTGAATCCATACATAGTATCTGTTTAATATGATCTAGCTTCCTATGAAACAGATCATAATCAATAGCACTTAGATATATTTCAAATACGCAAGAACCTAAATCTGTGGTGTGTTATGACCAGTAGCCCTAGTAAGTTCTACTGTGAGAGGATTTTCTTTTGTGTGTGTTTGTGTGATCCCTTCAGCCTTAAGATGTATTTCTTGTTTTCTTTTAGGTGTCCTCCATGATATGTGGTTTTCAGTCAGCAGTTAGCCTGATCAATCCTTGGGTTTTATTCCAGTTCTCTGCCATAAGACAAGGAATGGAAACCCCTTTGAAAAAGAGCAAGTTCTTAAGCTTTCTGTTATAAATCTTACCTCTGTAATGAAGTTGCTTGACTATTTAAGAGCTCATTAATTTTTCTCTTCTTTTAATTTATCTTAAGAATGTTTGTATTCTGTTTTTCCACAATGGAGGCTAACCTGATCCCTTTCCTAGATAATTGCAGAGAGATGTTTTGCATTTATAACATTGTCGTGTCTCAAGCGTCTCTACTGAAAAGATATTAGGTAGGGGGAATGGAAAAGCCACTTACTGATATCACTCAGGGCATTAGTATTGGCCAGAATGATCACCAACATGGTTTGACATAAGAGTATGTGTGCATGTGTATAAGCCATCCTGAGACGTTTGTAGTGGACAGCCTATAAAAGTTTTTAATAAATAAATTATTATTATTACATTATGTTACATTTATATCCTATCTGGATTCCCATAGCATGGGACCTAAGGCAGTTTACATAACCCTCCTCCTCTTCCTTCATTTTATTCTCACAATGACCCTGTGAGGTAGGTTAGGGTGAGATTTGTGATCCCCAGAACCTTCATGACTGAGTAGGGACTAAAACCCAATCCTGAGTTCCAGCCCAATACTCCAACCACTGTGTCACATTGTCTCCTTTGTCATTATCTGATTTGGTAAAACATGTATGTGTATTAGCAAATAATATGCAGACCAATCAAAACTGTGTTCTTTCTTAAGTGCCAGCTTGCTTATGTACTCTAGCTTACATCATCTTTAAAATCTGACACACAAAAATTTATTTTAAAAGTCAGAAGTGAGGCAGGTTACAAAGTGCCTCAGAATTCCCTGCTGAGGTCCGGTGCAAATATAACTGACTCATTTAAAATCATGGTTTGGAAACTAGGAGCCAGTCTCAGGGATACGTAAGTGTATGTCTTTTCCAACTCCCTTCTCTGGTGAAAATTCTCTCCTGTGCGCACCTTAATAATTGCTGAATGTTGCATCGGCAACGATTCTGATCCCCTTCATCCAGAAAATGATTTGAACAAACTAGGCAAGCCACTTTTAAGGGAGTACCTAGTTAGTGTTAAACTTTAGAGTCCCACTCTAAACCGTGAAAAGGCAGGTAATGGGAGAAGCAGAAGAGGAGTGTATATTACAGGGGCTGGTTTGTGATTTGCAAAGCATAATCTGCAAGTAGACAGCATTGAATCTGAACTGGATGTTTAGCACCTTTTGATTTTAATCATCCTCCTGATCCTCTAATTCCACACCTGGAACAATATCCTGATCTGAGGATATTGAGGATCTGATATCCTGAGGTTTGTAAAGTATATGATTGCTTGATACATGTATTCTGTTGGCATGACCCTGCATGCTAACTTCTGTAACTGTTGCAAACAGACCTTAAGAAATTATTTTAATTTAACAGATCTCAAGATCCTAGGCCTGGTGTATTTCCTATATCTCTTCCTGTTCTCTGGTCTGGAATACACACTGAGTTTTCTTGTTCATCAACACTTCCATTTCAGCAGGTATTTTGTGTGCAAAAACATAGAAGACTTAAAAGACATCAGTACAAACACAGAGTTTGGAGTTTTATAATTGTATTTATTCTGCTGAGCTTTATGTTTTATACAGTATTAGATCTCCCCTCCTTGGATGGGTAAAATAAACTCTGAATCACAGAATTTCTTTAGTATAATTAAATGGAAACCCCACTGTCAGCCCTCTCTTATGTAAGAGAGCATCCCCACAGCCCTCTCTTTTCCTTGATATACTTAAAGTTTTAAGCCATACCCTCCTACCAAGGTAGCTTGTAGTTTGCTATACAGGCAAGGCTGGGCTGCTGTGCATGTAAGACCATGTTCGACAATTAACAATAAAATGTTTCAGAATTAACTTTTTTCCTTATCAAGAACAATTGTTTAACAATAAAACAGAATAAATACATGTAATTCTGTTTAAAAATTGGATCAACACATGCAAAGGCCAACACTCATAAATGCTATACAATTTTGTTTTCTCTATCTATAAACTCACATATCCCATACCGTTAACCTATTGACTGACTTATGGGAATGGCAATAAAAGCAAAACTATTTCATCTTATATGTAAAATATTATCATATGCTAGGTACAACAACTCTATGTAGGTTACTAGTACCTTAAAAAGTTATATTTACCTATTCTGAAATGCCATTGCTAGAGAGGCAAAAAAAAAGCCCATGCAGGGGAGAGCATGAAGATCACCTCTGCTATTCCTCCCACTCTGCACTGGATGCCTAGAAGCCCCTGAGTTCTGGGGTTTACAGACATCCCAGTAGGACTTCACCCTAAAAGTAGTGTTTTCTTTTTCTTATATTCAGATGTTAGCTCAACTCTTTTCAAAGGTAGGCTGGAGATCATAATGAAAATTTAATTTCTCCAGAAGATTCAAGGCAGTTTGGCCAGAGTCATCATTGCTCAAATGAATTTTGCAGGCTTTTGTGTTATTTAAGAAATTGGTCAGAAATAAACACATGACCAAACAGATGTGGGGCAGTATATGTACACTGCAGGGAGAAATGTCTCTTTCAAAAATCGTAGAAATTATTGACATCCAGGTGTATTGAACAAGCAATTTAATTTCTCCTTTTCCCCCTTTTTTGTGGGGTTGGGGGTACTCTGTTTTCTCTTAGTATGGAGCAAGGGAAGATGTTTTTCTTCATTGGCATTACAATGGCTGCGATCCAGGGAGGCTACACTCGCCAAATTAAGCCAGGAAATGAATTAAAGGCTGTTAAAAGGGTAGGTTTCTTTTCAGCATTTTAAAAGGTATTATTTTCCTCTTTACTTTGCAATACTCTAAATTTTCAGAACATTTTTTGTTAATTTATCTCTTAACATATCCTGTTAATTTCTCTGCTTCCACTTGTGAGAAAATACAAGCCGTTTTGGCAGGGAAAAGCTTCCTGTTGTACAATGATCTGTAACAGTGAAGGTTTCTTTCATTCTCTGTAACTTTTTTTAATTCACAGCTTTTACAGGGATTTATATTTTATGCCTTTGGATTATGGGTAAGATTGGCAGAAAGACTGGCAACCTCATTTAGATTTGTCTTTAATGTGTTGCATCTGGTGTTGAAATCAGTACCACCATCAAGCAAATCATCATTCAGAGCCAAGTTTTTATGAACATTTACTTGCAACTTGAAGTAGATGCATTTTTCAGATTTGCAACATACACAATATGCTTCCAGCTATCCTTTAGAGTTACAGAATTTGTTAGTTGACCTGCCAAATAAGGAAATTGGACATTAGTTTTGTTAGCCATTCACCTATGAGGGGTATCTGGAATAAAAATATTAAGGGCCTGCTTAATCCACTTCTATGCAGCATGTATATTTGCAGTGTTATTTCTAACAGCTATGTTTTATTCACCATGGCCTCCATGCAGGACCATTGGTATTGTGTGTGGATTGCAGCTTGGTTTGTAACTTGAGAATACCCAAGCTTGTGAAAATTGGTACCTCCATTTGAGGTCTGTGCATTTGTCCTTAACAATTCACACATTCTTTCAATTTAATGTGGAAAATCCTGGTGATCATGTATGCAGGCCTAGATGGAAGCAATAGCTACTATGTGGGTCTCTTGAGAATCGCTCTGCTCAGGGTAACTGTGCATATGTCCCTCTAAGGAATGTGTGTGTGTGGGACATTGTAAGTGTAACTAGAGCCTCACGAATGAGAAAGCTAAAACCTGGTTTGCACATAATGAGAAGCCACCATTAATAGTGTCGTGAGCCAGGCACCCCTTCCCAATGAATGCAGTCACTCCAGCAGATGCTACAAGTGTCTATTCCCAATGACTACCAAAGAATCTTTAAGGCAAACAGCTACAAGGTATTCACAACAACGATAATGTACACAGGATAGAAAGTTCACCTCTCGCTTTGACTAACATCACCCCACACTTTGCTTATGAACCCTCTGGGGATGGTCCCTCGGAGGCAGGGCACTGTGAACGCTGCTTGCTGCCATTCCTCTAATCAAGACACCAACTATCCCAGCCTGCGGGTGCGCCTCTGTGAATAAGCATTCTCAATATTCCCAAGAACCCCCCAGCATGCTATTTATTAACTTTGTTCTCATAATTCAAACCAGTATCAAGCCCCCTGTCTGACCTTGAAGTGTCTTGATCCTGCGCGGCCTCAGACTCCCCCCTTTGCAGAAAAATACCACCTGTGGTTCCACTAGTTAAAACATCTGGGGAATTTGGGTGAGAGCTTTGTGCTGTTGTTGGGACAATGATTAACTCCTCTTCTCTTTCTTTGGAGCTCTGGTTCTCACCAAAACCTTCACTCCCTTGTGCGCATGTGAGAACCTCTTCTGAGCACACGTGCATGACAAATAGTTCTTTCTAACCCAATTCATGCCACCCTTTGTTTTTGCTTCTTTCTTGTCCTTAGCAATTTTGAGTGTCTATCCACCCTCCCTCCCTCCCTCCCTCCCTCTTTCTTCCCTCCCTCCCTCCCTCCCTCCCTCCCTCCCTCCAGGAATAGGTTTTTTTAATTCTTGCCTTATAAAATCTCTGGTTTCAGTCCACAGTTCTTCTTTGTTGTTGTTGTTGTTGTTGTTGTTGTTAGTCATGAAGTCGTGACCAACTCATTGCGACCCCATGGACAACGTTCCTCCAGGCCTTCCTGTCTTCCATCATCCCCCAGAGTCCACTTAAGCTCACACCCACTGCCCCAGTGACTCCATCTAGCCACCTCATTCTCTGCCATCCCCTTCTTCTTTTGCCATCTATTGTTCCCAGCATTAGACTCTTCTCCAGGGAGTCCTTCCTTCTCATTAGGTGGCCAAAGTATTTGAGTTTCATCTTCAGTATCTGGCCTTTGAAAGAGCAGTCAGGGTTGATCTCCTCTGGGACCGATCGGTTTGATTGCCTTGTGATCCAGGGGACTCGCAGGAGTCTCCTCCAGCACCACAATTCAAAGGCCTCAATCCTTAAGCGCTCAGCCTTCCTTATGGTCCAGGTTTCACAGCCATACATTGCAACTGGGAAAACCATAGCCTTGACTAGACGCACTTTTGTTGGCAGGGTGATGTCTCTGCTTTTTAGTATGCTGTCTAGATTTGCCATAGCTTTCCTCCCAAGAAGCAAGTGTCTTTTAATTTCTTGGCTGCAGTCCCCATCTGCGGTGATCTTGGAGCCCAGGAAAATAAAATCTGTCACTACCCCCATTTCTTCCCCATCTATTTGCCAGGAAGCGAGAGGACCGGATGCCATGATCTTAGTTTTCTTAATGTTAAGTTTCAAGCCAACTTTTGCACTCTCCTTCACCCGCATCAAAAGGCTCTTTAGTTGCTCTTCACTCTCTGCCATTAGAGTGGTATCATCTGCATATCTGAGGTTGTTGTTATTTCTCCCAGCAATCTTAATTCCAATTGGTGATTGATCTAGCCCCACCTTTCTCATGATGTGCTCTGCATATAAGTTAAATAGGCAGGGCAAAAGTATACAACCTTGCTGAACTCCTTTCTCAATTTTGAACCAATCAGTGATTCCGTGTCTAGTTCTCACTGTTGCTTCTTGACCCGCGTATAGGTTTCTCAAGAGACAAATAAGATGGTCTGGTACTCCCATCTCTTTAAGAACTTGCCACAATTTGTTGTGATCCACACAATCAAAGGCTTTAGCATAGTCAATGAAGCAGAAGTAGATGTTTTTCTGGAACACCCTAGCTTTCTCCATGATCCAGGTATGTTGGCAATTTGATCTAGAGTTTCTCTCCCTCTTTGAAATCCTGCCTGTACTTCTGGTAGTTCTTGGTTCACATACTGCTGGAGCCTAGCTTGTAGGATTTTGAACATAACTTTGCTAGCATGTGAAATGAGTGCAATTGTGCGGTAGTTTGAACATTCTTTGGCATTGCCCTTCTTTGGGATGGGAATGTAAACTGACCTTTTCCAATCCTGCGGCAACTGTTGAGTTTTCCAAATTTGCTGGCATAAGGAGTGTAGCACTTTTACTGCATCGTCTTGTAAGATTTTGAATAGCTCAGCTGGAATACTGTCATCTCCACTAGCTTTGTTGTTGCTCAGACTTCCTAAGGCCCATTTGACTTCACATTCCAGGATGTCTGGCTCGAGGTCAGTGACCACCCCATCGTGGTTATCAGGGACGTTAAGCTCTTTCTTGTATAGTTCTTCTGTGTAATCTTGCCACCTCTTCTTAATTTGCCTCTGTTAGGTCCCTGCCATTTTGGTCCTTTATCATGCCCATCTTTGCATGAAACTTTCCCTTCATATCTCCAATTTCCTTGAAGAGATCTCATTCCCATCCCCCATGATGAAGACAACATCATTTTTTGGTGTTAATTCTAGTAGGTGTTGTAGGCCTTCATAGAACTGGTCAACTTCAGCCTGTTCAGCACCAGTGGTTGGGGCATAGACTTGGACTATTGTTATGTTGAATGGTTTGCCTTGGATTTGAACTGAGATCATTCTGTCATTTTGGAGATTGTATCCCAGTACTGCTTTTCCTACTCTTTTATTGATTATGAGGCTACTCCATTTCTTCTGAGGGATTCTTGCCCACAGTAGTATACCTGATGGTCATCTGAATTAAATTCACCCATTCCTGTCCATTTTAGTTCACTGATTCCTAAGATGTCGATGTTCAGTCTTGTCATCTCTTGTTTGACCACATCCAGTTTGCCTTGATTCATGGATCTTACATTCCAGGTTCCTATGGAGTATAGATTTTTGCAGCATTTGACTTTCCTTTCACCACCAGATACATCTGCAACTGATTGTCCTTTCAGCTTTGACCCAGTCACTTCATTCTTTCTGGTGCTACTAGTACTAGCCCTCCGCTCTTCCCCAGTAGCATATTGGACACCTTCCAACCTGAGGGGGTCATCTTCTGACGTCATATCTTTTTGCCTTTTGGTACTGTCCATGGGGTTTTCATGGCAAAGATACTGGAGTGGGTTGCCATTTCCTTCTCCAGTAGATCACGTTTTGTCAGAGCTCTCTGCTATGACCTGTCTGCCTTGGGTGTCCCTGCATGGCACAGCTCATAGCTTCATTGAGCTACGCAAACCCCTTCGCCACGACAAGGCAGTGATCCATGAAGGAGCAGTTCTTCTTGCTCAGGGTCAATATTCAATAATGTAAATCTGTTCTTTAGATGGGTTTGAAATTCCCCAGGAATTTTATTTAAATTGCATTTTAGCACTGTGCTCCTGTTAATGATCTTGTTTTGGGGCTTTGGGAAGAAGACTCTGCCCCCAAGAATGGGCTGTCCATGATCAGCCACTATTATGTTTAAATTAAAGTATTTTCTCTATTGCACAGAGCTAACCTGTTAAGTTATGACCTGTTGCTTCCTTACAAAGCTGCCCCAGGTGTTCCCCAGTGTTGACACTGTCTCCTCACTGCTAGCAATGGGGACTTCAAAATTGGGGAAACCCCCTTGTGAGGAAGTAAGTTTTTCCACTTTAAATCATAAGCCCCCCTCCCTGAGGTTTCCATCAGGTTTTGGCACTTCCCAAGGTGCTTTCCACTTGAGGTAAATTAGAAAACTGAGGTGACAGTTAAGGTTTCCTAGCTCTGTCCAAAAGCCCTGGCAATTCTGCTTGGAAATGGGGAATTGAGAAGGTGTTCCCTTAAAGCACTCCTCCTTACAGATTCTTGGGATCCTTAGGGGGGTTCTTGTGCCTTTTGAGCTATCCACACCTTGGAAAGGAGGAGCACCCCAGGGCTACCTCCAAAACCTAAGGATTCTGCTGCAAATGTATTCTACCTTTTTAAAAAATCTGAAAAAATAGCAGTCTGCAAAATTACAGTTTGGCATGGACACTTGTCTGCATTGCTATGGAACCTTGAGCATGGGAGCTTAAGGTGCTAGAGTTCATGAATGTTAATTTTAACAGATGAACAATGATCTCAGAATTTTTTTATCTATTGGTTGCATTTATATCCCACCCCTTTCCTAAGGACTTGGAGTTCTTTCTTCCAAGAAGGATCCTCCTGTTTCCCATTTTTAATCCTCACAACAGTCCTGTCAAACAGTCATGAGTCCATGAGTGACCCAAAGACACTCAGTGAACTCATGGCCAAATGAGGACTAGAACCCAAGTCTACTGGGTCCCAGGCAAGGAGGGCTTGAATACACAAGAAAAGTGTGTATGGAAATGCAGGAGCAAAGTGGTGAGCATTAAGGTAAAGCTGTGTCTACATGAAAGCAGCAGGAGCGAGAGCTTTGGAAGATTGCCACCAAGAGCTGCTGGAGCAGTTTTGTTTTCCAGCCACCCAAGACTCCATAGTCTGGCAACCTACTCATATGGAGCAATGACCAAAAAAATGGGTCACCAGTATGGGTATAATGCCAAATGTTGGCTTCAGATTCTGGTTTGGCAGCTGCTCTTGAATAATAATTTCTTGGGTTAGACATCTTAGTTTAGCACTTTTGAAATTGGTTTGAGTAGATCACCTGCTCTCTTGCTTCAGAGACCTTGGAGAAGCTTTTTGGCCTTGACTGATAAGGGGATAAGTAGGTGAAACTGCCACACAAATTTGTTTGTACAATTTCCCACAAAAAAGCTTTGAATGGAAAAGGCATTAGGATTAATGAATATTCTCTTTCTCTTCTCAATTTTTCCCCGTAACACAAGGAAACTCCTACTTTACCTAGTGAAAGGAGCTTTTTGACATCATCACAGGAAGAGGGATGGAGGGGGCAAATCACTGACTTAAAGCTCATCCCAGTATCACCCTAAGTCTGTAAATTAGCCAAACTGTATTTCCAGGAGCTTTTAAGGATGCTTTAGAGGAAAGTCCAGCTTTATTCCACTTTAACTTTGCAGTGTAAGTAGATGCTGAAGAGAGCAGGATTGGCCTATGAGAACCACTTCCTCAACATTCATCCAACTACTCTCAAAGTAGGACAGGTCCAGGAGAACAGCCTATGTTTTCATTATGTGTACCACTGTCCTACCATGAAAATTCTAACTTTCTCTTCTCCTTTTGCTTTCTTTTGGCAGGCAATAATGCTGTCAGCCCCTGCTTTCCTTTTAATTGGCTGGAGTGGTAATGTGATCATCCTCTGCATAGGACTCTTGTTCTACTCTTTTGGTGAGCTTCTCTAACAGATATTTCAGGTGCTAAAGCAAAGCATCCTTAAGTCTGTTCCATTGATTTACTGAATTCTTTAACACAAATGCTTTTAGTTTTCAAAGCTACTGTCCTGGATATAAAACCTTGAAGGGGCGGGAGGGGGGTATAGTCTACTTTATTTTAATGTTAATAAACATTCCCAGAAGTTGTCATGGTGACATTTAGAAATGTCAGTAGCTTGCATCTCCTTCCAAAGCCTGAACATAATTTGGATGTTAAGAGCCCTGCCAGATCAGGCCAAGGACCTCTGATCTAGCCTGGTGTTCACACAGTGGCCAAGCAGCTGCCCAGAGGAAACCACAAGCAGGACTTGAGTGCGTTAGCACCATCCTGCTCATGTTCCACAACAACTGGTAAACATAGTCATGCTGCCTCTGATGCTGAAAATACAAAACAGCTTTCATAACTAGTAGCTTATTGGGGTTTCATCTTCCATGAAATTGTCTAATTTTAAAGCCAAATCGGAGACCATTGCTACATTTTGTACAATTTTATTGGAAAAAACCCTTTGTTTATCTCTCTTGAATCTCCAACAACTTACCTTCATGGGATGTCTAATTCTAGTATAACGGGAGCAAGAAAATAATGCCTCCCTGTAATGTTTTCCACACTATGCATATTTTGTACACTAGCATGTCTACCCTTTTTTGTACCTTTACAACTATTGGGTAATGTAAAGGAGCAATACTGTGGCACCTAAGGAGTGCCTGAGAGCCCATAGGATTGTTCAGATTTCCACTTTCGAGGTTAGAGACAGTGATCTGACCTGGAAAAGAGGAGTCAGAGATCTGACCCTTCCTTTTCATAGTCACTGCAGAAAGAACATGCCAGCTGCTCTCCAAGTTGAAAAGGCAACCTCAGAATGGGGGAAAAGCCAGGAGAGAGGAGATCAGAAAGGCAAGGATGTGAGCTATCCTGAGAGCTCTGCAGCACCGTTTTTCCCTTTCCAAAGCACCCCAGTTAGACTGGGAAAAGAATCCCTTCTAGCAATACTGGGCAGGTTTATAAGGAGGTGGAGATCACCTTCCCTTCACTGGCTGATGAGAAGCTTCTGAGTTCAAGGGCTTCTAATCATCAAGGGTTCAATCAGTAAGTCTGTGTTCATAATCAATGAATTTGTCTTGGCACATTTCTTTAAAGAATATATTCGATGTCCTAGAAAGAGATGACTTTTGTGCGTTAAACAATGGAAAACAGGCCGAGGAAAACTATGTGATCAGAAGGTATTTCTTGAATGTGCCATTAAATTAATATTTATTTAACTTATATTCCACTTAGAGTCTGAGGACTCTAAGCAGATTACAACATTTCACATAAAAACAACATCAAATTTTAAAACACATGAAAATAACAACAATAAAACACAATGTGCAGCTAAGGGATCAAATATCTGTAAGTTAAATATATTAAAACTAAAAGTGGTATAAATAACATCATAAAGTTAAACAAAAACTGGCTTAGCTCTAAGACTGAGTATTATTACAGCTGTCCTAAAGTAACAGCTGTTTCTAATTTCACCAAGTTTCATTTGTTCATTTTCATAGGAGCCTAGACAAGTTCCATGTTGTGGTGCATGATTGTAGAGCAGGGGTCCTCAAACTTTTTCAATAGGGGACCAGTTGAAAGGTGGCGGCGACCAGTGCACGCTGGTGAGGTGTGGGGCACGTGGCGTCGGGCACACGCCGCTGTGTCTCACTCAGAGGTCTCCCAGTGAGTCCAAAACCATCTCCAAGTGAGCAAGCCACCTTCTCCCCACCTGCGCGGCGAGCACGCACGGGCAGTGGTGCGGGCCAGATAAATGGGCATGGTGGGCCGGAGGACCCATGTAGTACAGCCTAGCTTAGTACACACAACACAGTAATTAGCATCCCAATAGCAGTTTACCTCTCTACCTACCACCATATTTAGTGGAACACTTTGAATGACTTCTGTTCATCCCATGCTGAGCAATATCTCCATTTACCCAGAACATTGATCACATGTGGTGACATTTGCCATTTTTATGTGTCTGATGCATGTCGTTCACAGTACATGGCACGTTCACAGTACATGGTTTCTAGAGGAGATGTCAAAGTTACAAAGGGATGTTTCTCTTTGTTCAGCTTTTTCTCTGTGTGTATGCATACAGCAGCAGCCATACAGCACATATACGGACCTATAATAGAAATGGCTCTTTGGCAGGGATGAGGGTTATGGGTAGAGTTATGGTTCGGGAAGGGAAGGGAATACCAAATCTGGCTGTCCACCCATCCCTCCTAAAAAGCTGATAGGTGCAATTGCTGATTTTCTGAGTGCAGCTGTGCATGCACAGCAGTAATAGCTGGATCTGAGGAGGTACTGCATGTCCACTATTTGTTTGCATATGTGATCCAGGTAAGAATATATGGGCAGAAACCTACTGCCCATTTATATATTTACTCATGATAAAAGTATAAAGCAGGACAATGGTATTAGAAACATAGAAATAGAGTGAATCAGAGCAAGTCTGAGTGGGATGGTATAAACTGGTATCCTGCAACAGCAAGGGGTTGAACCCAGTGGCTTTCATGGCCCCTTCCAATTCTATGATTCTATGAGAAGGGACCTCCCAGGCCATCTAGTCTGACCCCCTGCTCCAGCTGGCTCTGCTCATGACATGCCTACCATGTGCATGTCCAGCCTATCCTTAAACTTCCTCACTAATGGGGCTTCAACTACCTCCTGAGAAAGCCCATTCCATACTCTAGAGGTCCTAACTGGAATGTTTTGTTAAGTAATCTCAGTAGTTCAAGCCTTATATTAGTTGATAATTTTGCCTTTGCTAGTCTAGTCAGTATACTATTGTATGATACAGCTGTCTTCAGGACATACTTCGGCAGAGAATTTATCTCTCCTAAACTTCTTGATGGGATTTCTGGTACTAGGAAGTGTTCTTTTCCCCTTCCTTCCCCTTCTCCTTTCATTATATTTGTATCCCTCTGTGAAAGTCATAGATTATTTTTATTCCACTTACTATGCTGCTGCCATTGACACAGAACTGGAAATTACCAGTCAGAATCAAACTGTAGCCCATGTACCCCAGAAGGAGATATATTTATGCAAAAGAAGTGCCATATGTTCAGTTGTTATATCTCTGAGTGCAGTGTCATTTTCCAAGAATGACATTTTTAAATCACATGATGACATTGTGTGCAGTACTTCAGGGCTTCGTACTGCTTTCCTCCATCATTGACAATGTATTAAGGTAATACTTACATTCACTCATTTGCATTAATGACATTGTTTAATCTTCTAGCTGCTGCTGTTGTTGTTCCCTGTTTGTCTACAGTAGTATCTGGCTATGGTAAGTGTTTATTTAATCATGGAAAAGTCAGAGCCCCTCCCTACTATAATTGCTGCTGGCTGGTTCAGTGGACCCATATCTCCTAGAGTTCTGCCAGACTTTTTTCTGCATTGTTGGAGATGACTGAAAAGATAAATCAGCAAATAATTCAGCATGTTCTTCAGTTTTGCTTTTGATTTATTTATTTATTTATTTAAATATGCCTTGGCATCTCGGGATGGCTCACAATCCATAAAATTGAAAAACAGTAATACAATAAAAATAAAATCACATGTGTAAAAACATAATTCAATAAAATTTACATAAAAGACAAAATCAAAGCGACCGTTCAACACAATTAAAATATTAATTTTTAAAATAGTGATTAAATAAAAAGGTTTTGACCTGGCGCTGAAAAGAATATAAACGCGGCACCAGGCGCACCACTCCAGAGAGCACATTCCATAATCTGGGCACCACTGCTGAGAAGGCCCTGCTCCGAGTTGTTGTTCGTCACGAAGTCGTGTCCGACCCATCGTGACCCCATGGACAGCATTCCTCCAGGCCTTCCTGTCCTCCACCATCCCCTGGAGTCCACTTAAGCTCACACCAACTGTTTCAGTGACTCCATCTAGCCATCTCATTCTCTGCCGTCCCCTTCTTCTTTTGCCATAGCATATTGGACACCTTCCGACCTGAGGGGCTCATCTTCCGGTGTCATATCTTTTTGCCTTTTGGTACTATCCATGGGGTTTTCATGACAAAGATACTGGAGTGGGTTGCCATTTCCTTCTCCAGTGGATAATGTTTTGACAGAGCTCTCTGCTATGACCTGTCTCTCTTGGATGGCCCTGCACGGCATAGCTCATAGCTTCATTGAGCTACGCAAGCCCCTTCACCACGACAAGGCAGTGAGCCATGAAGGAGCTGCTCCAGGTAGTTGTTATTTTTATCTCCTTTAAAGAGGGCTCCTGGAGCAAAGCCTCTCCCACAGATCTTAAGGGGCGTGAGGGCATATAAGGGAAGAGGTCCTCTTTAAGGTATCCTGGTCCCAAACCTTTCAGGGCTTTATAGGTTAAAACCAGCACCTTGAATTGGGCCCGGACTTCAACTGTATGCCAGTATAGCTGGTAGAGGACTGGCGTTATGTGAGAATAGCAACCGGTCCCCATCAGCAACCTGGCAGCTCTGTTCTGTACCAGCTGAAGTATTTGGACCATCTTCAAGGGTAGCCCCACATAGAGCGCATTACAATTATCCAACCGGGAGGTTACCAGAGCATGAATCACCGTTGCTAGGCAGTTCTTGTCCAGGTAAGGGCGCAGCTGATGGATCAGCCAAAGTTGTAGGAAGGCACTCCTTGCCACCACTGCCACCTGGCATTCCAGTGACAGCTCTGGGTCAAGGAGCACTCCCAAGCTGCAGACCCTGTCCTTTAGAGGGAGTGCTACCCTGTCCAGGACAAGGTCAAAGTCACTTACCTGAAACTGCCATCCGCCCACCAACAGGACTTCCGTCTTATCTGGATTGAGGCTCAGTTTATTGGCCCTCATCCAGCCCATTACCTCGGCCAGGCACTGGTTCAGCACAGCCACTGCCTCACCTGGAGTAGATGAAAATGTGAGGTAGAGCTGGGTGTCATCAGCATACTGGTGACACCGCAGCCCAAACCTCCTAATGACCTCTCCCACAATTTAACACCTGGCTCTGGTATTTAACTAAAATACCTAAAGAGGACCTAAAGAGCCTCTTCATGTGGGTGAAGGAGGAGAGTGCAAAAGTTGGCTTGAACCTCAACATAAGAAAAGTAACATCATGGCATCGAGTCCTCTCACCTCCTGGCAAATAGATGGGGAAGAAATGGAGGTAGTGACAGATTTTATTTTCCTGGGCTCCAAGATCACTGCAGACGGGGACTGCAGCCAAGAAATTAAAAGACGCTTGCTCCTTGTGGGGAAAGCTATGGCAAATCTAGACAGCATATTAAAAAGCAGAGACATCACCCTGCCAATAAAAGTGTGTACAGTCAAGGCTATGGTTTTCCCAGTTGCAATGTATGGCTGTGAAAGCTGGACCATAAGGAAGGCTGAGCACTGAAGGATTGAGGCCATTTATTTATTTATTTATTTAGACAGCTTATATGCCGCCCCCATCGCATAATCCTCGGGGCTGCTTACAATAATTAAAACCCCGCATATTAAAAAAAATCATAGAATAAATATAATACATAAAATAGTGGAAACAGCCTGGTCAGTTTAAAATCAACAAATAAACCTTAACAATTAAAATACTGTTTAAATAAAAAGGTCTTGGCCTGGCGCCAAAAAATAGCGACGGCACCAGGTGGACCTCTGTGGGGAGCGCATTCCATAGATTGGGCACCACTGCAGAGAAAGCCCTCCTCCAAGTACTCACCCTCCTAATATCTTTCATGGAGGGTTCCCGGAAAAGGGCCTCTGCCGCCAATCTCAAGGGGCGGGAAGGCATATATGGATGCAGGCGCTCCTTTAGGTAACCAGGACCTAAACTGTTCAGGGCTTTGTAGTTGATAACCAGCACCTTGAATTGGGCCCGGATTTCAATGGGGAGCCAGTGGAGCTGATGGAGGACTGGAGTTATATGAGAACAACGCCCAGTCTCCGTCAGCAGCCTGGCAGCTCTATTTTGCACCAATTGAAGTATCTGGACCGTCTTCAAGGGCAGCCCCATGTAGAGCGCATTACAGAAGTCTAATTGGGAAGTGACCAATGCGTGTGTCACTGTTGCCAGGCAGTCATTCTCCAGGTAGGGACACATATAATTGGTGGCCATCTCTGGAGCCAGGGAAACCTTGTTTAGGACAGGCCGGGCTACCGCCTCTTTTAAAGGGGCAGGTACCCAGCCATCCCTCAGAGCGGTGTTGACAACCTCCAGGATCCAGGTCCCTATCCTGTCCTTGGCTGTCTTGAGTAGCCAAGATGGGCAAGGGTCCAGTAAGCAGGTGGTGGAACATACTTGTCCAAGCACCTTGTCCACATCATCAGGCCACAATAACTGAAATTCATCCATCAATTGTGGACCAGGCGGCAACATTGGCTCCTCCCCTGAAGGCTCTGAGTCACTAGTGGAGTCCAGCTCGTGACGAATCTGAGCAATTTTCTCCTTAAAATGCTTGGCAAAGTCGTCACAGCGGGCCATCGAGGGTGGTACCAGGTCTTTCTTAGGGCCTTGGTGAACCAGCCCTTGTACCACCCGAAAAAACTCTGCAGGACGGCATTGAGAGGAGGCAATGGACGTGGAGAAAAAATTCTTTTTTGGAGCCCTCACCACCACAGCATAGGCCCGATGATGGGCTCTTAAGTGTGTTCGGTCAGATTCATCCCGTGATTTCCTCCGCCTATGCGCTAGCTGTCTCCCAACCCACTTCATCACCCGTAATTCAGGTGTGTACCAAGGGGATGAACAGGCTCTGCCTGGTGGGAGAGGACGCTTAGGAGCGATCGTGTCAATAGCCCTGGTCATTTCTCCATTCCACAGTTCGACCAGATCTTCGACAGGAGCACCAGCCTTGTCAAGTGGAAATTCCCCCAGGGCCTTCAGGAAACCTTCTGGATCCATCCAGCTCTGGGATCGGACCAGCACAATCGTGTCTGCACCCTTACAGAGGCAAAGGCTGCTCTCGAGCTCAAACCTCACGAGGAAGTGGTCTGACCATGACAGGGGAGTCAGACATAAATTCCTCACCCTCAGATCACCCTCTTCCTGCCCCGTCGAGAAAACCAGGTCCAGAGTGTGTCCACGTTCATGGGTCGGGCCAGTGACATGTTGAGACAGCCCCATGGCCATGATGGAGGCCATGAAGTCCTGAGCCGCCCTGTCAGAACCGTCTCGACATGGAGATTGAAGTCCCCCAGGACCAACATCCTGGGGGTCCTCAACATCAGGTCTGAGACGATCTCCGTCAGCTCAGGCAGGGAGTCTGTTGGGCAGAAGGGTGCACGGTACACCAACAGAATCCCCAGTCTGTCCTGATCTCCCAACACCAAGTAGAGGCACTCTAGACCCGGCCTCGAGAGAACAGGAAGCCTCTTGAGGGAGATGGAAGCTCGGTAAACTAAAGCGACCCCCCTCCCCTCCCCTCAAGGCATGGTTGGTGCTGGACCAGATACCCAGGCGGGCACAGTTGAGAGAGGGACACATCCCCCTCCTCTCCTGCCCAGGTCTCGGTTGTGCAGGCCAGGTCGGCCCACAATCAAGTTGTGGATGAGGGATGACTTATTATGGACTGACCTGGCACTGAGCAGCAGCACTGTCAGGCCTGAGGGGCAGTTGACAAGCCTACCTGGAACCCTCCAGCTGGGGGAGGAACCAGAAGGGGGGACAGGTGTCAACCATCTGTCCCGCCTTCTTCTATGCAGACCTGTTAGACCCCCAACACCATAACGTCCATTGTGGTGCTGCAGGAGACTCCTGCGAGTCCCTTGGACCACAAGGCAATCAAACTGGTCAGTCCTAGAGGAGATCAATCCTGACTGCTCTTTAGAAGGCCAGATCCTGAAGATGAAACTCAAATACTTTGGCCACCAATGAGAAGGAAGGACTCCCTGGAGAAGAGCCTAATGCTGGGAATAATAGATGAAGGGGACAGCAGAGAATGAGGTGGCTAGATGGAATCACTGAAGCAGTCAGTGTGAGCTTGAGTGGACTCTGGGGGATGGTGGAGGACAGGAAGGCCTGGAGGAATGTTGTCCGTGGGGTTGCTATGGGTCGGACACAACTTCGCAACTAACAACAACAACAAAAGATTCTGAGTGTGGTCCAGGGAAACTTAAGCACTTTAAGTACCATTAATTTTAGTGGAAGAGAGTTAATGATGCTAAAATTAAGAAAGAGATTGAATTCACTTCCTCCAGACTCTCATGTTGGAACTCGATGTCGGGCAGCGGACCTGGATCTGAATGTACAAATTCCCGTTGAACAGCTGTGAAATGGCAGGATGAGAGTCAAATCTGAAGCTTACTACAGCAGCATGTGAAGTACGCTTAAGTTGCCACTTGCTGTTTCCTTTCAACCTCTTGCCCAGCAACATTTTGCCTAGCAGTCTTTGAAAAGGGTGAACACTCTTTTTCTGCTTTTCTGCTACAGATTCCTCCTCTTTACACCACCGCATTGCAGCTGTTTGTCAGGGCTCTGAATTTTCCATCTGGGCTTGTTTACCAACACATACCTCAAGCCTGTGACTGAGAAGTGAGCTCTATTTCCTTCATAATGGTAGCAGGACCTCTGCATAAATATACAGTGGCAACCTGGTGTTACGGCCACACTGTGGGTGGTAGCAAGAATGGACAGGAGACCAGGTCCAGGGCACAAGGCCAAGCAAGAGCTTCACCAATGGGCCAGAGCCTAGAGGCAAGTCAACAGTCCCAGATCAAAAGCGTGGAGGAGAGCAGTCAGATTTCACAAAGTCAGAGCACAATTCCAAGGTCTGTTTACCAGATGAGTGGCTGCAGCGAGTGTAGGAGCAGTTGGTCCAAGGCTGGATCTACTTGGAGGAAGATGGAAACAGCGGGAAGGGTGCAGGCTGAAGCAAGGCAGGGCCTACTTTGAGGAGGGCAGTCACAACGCATAGATTCTTGGAACCAAAATGCAAGGAGTTCTGTGGATGGCCTGTGTTGCTGTGGCAAAGAGCAGCAATGTGAAAATGTCTTATCTAAGTCTCCAGGGCCTTCAGCTGTAGCTGCAGCTGGTTCTGCAGACACTTGCAAGACCAATCAGGCCCTGATCTTCACACCTGGCTCTGGTAGGCACCTTCATCTGAGGGCACAAGGTCTGGTGCAGGGGTGACAACTGGCCCTGGTTTTCTCCACTTAGTGTAAAACATGCCTCATCTTCTTAGTTCTCAGGCACTCTCAGTCTCTTTGGAATGACTGGTCAAGGATCCTACGTTATGTTAGACTTCTTTGAAGCCCACCTTAGGGGAGCACAGTTAGATTACAGATTTTAATTAGCACACTAAATACAAACTGGGCATTGAAATAACATTAGCATGGCCCAGACATGTGTCATTCCCTTGTAAGCTTCCCTGTTTCACACCCAAAACACAGTCTGTGTTTCAGTGAAAACAAGGGAGAAGATTTATTAAGGAAAATGCAGAATGGGAAAAGCAGTTTGAAGTTGCAAATCAGCAGCCGAGAGAGAGAGAGAGGAAGGGAGAGGAAGAGGAGGCAATCTAGCTGTGAAAGGTCCCTTTGTTTGGAGGTCAACTTCACCTGGGTACCTGTACCAGAGAAAACTGTACAATCTCTCCTGGTGCTAGATCAGAAAGACCCGAACTTCCCTTTCTAGTAATGTATATCTGCTCCTCCCCCTTGCCCAGGTGGAGATTCCAGATGAATCCCTTATTTTTCATCTGCTAACTGTCTGGTCTCCTTCCCAGCTCTGAGATAGATTTTAGGAGATTCCTATTGTTCAGGACCCTGGGTGATTTGGTAATCAGTAGTTTTACTGTATGGCAGCCCTTGGTCTGCAGATGACCTCAACTAAGCCATCAGGTGACCTGGCCTTTCACTAAGCAGGAACTTGTAGCTGATTGTGAAACGGAAGGTTCTGTCTTATGGACCTGGGTAAAATGGAGTCACCTAATGAGAAGGAAGGACTCCCTGGAGAGGAGTCTAATGCTGGGAACAATAGATCGCAAAAGAAGAAGGGGATGGCAGTGGATGAGGTGGCTAGATGGAGACACTGAAGCAGTTGGTGTGAGCTTGAGTGGACTCCAGGGGATGGTGGAGGACAAGGAAGGCCTGGAGGAATGTTGTCCATGGGGTCACGATGGGTCGGACACGACTTCGCGACTAACAACAACTGTGGTCCATCTGAACAAAGCAGATACACAATTATTTTCAAAGCCTTTATTGTTTAGAAAGATCAGTTTCTCAGATCTTTTAAATATACAGTATATCACAGAAGTGAGTACACCCCTCACATTTTGTAAATATTTTATTGTATCTTTTCATGTGACAACCCTGAAGAAATGGCACTTTGCTGCAATGCAAAGTAGTGAGTATACAGCTTGTATAATAGTGTAAATTTGCTGTCCCCTCAAAATAACTCAACACACAGCCATTAATGTCTAAACCTCTGGCAACAAAAGTGAGTACACCCCTAAGTGAAACTGTCCAAATTGGGCCCAAAGTGGTAATATTTTGTGTGGTCACCATTATTTTCCAGCACTGCCTTAACCATCTTGGGCATGGAGTTCAGCAGAGCTTCACAGGTTGCCACTGGAGTCCTCTTCCACTCCTCCATGATGACATCACAGAGCTGGTGGATGTTAGAGACCTTGCGTTCCTCCACCTTCGATTTCAGGATGCCCCACAGGGTTTAGGTCTAGAGACATGCTTGGCCAGTCCATCACCCTTACCCTCAGCTTCTTTAGCAAGGCAGTGGTTGTCTTGGAAGTGTGTTTGAGGTCGTTATCATGTTAGAATACTGCCCTACAGCCCAGTCTCTGAAGGGAGGGGATCATCCTCTGCTTCAGTATGTCACAGTACATGTTGGCATTCATGGTTCCCTCAGTGAACTGTAGCTCCCCAGTGCCGGCAGCACTCATGCAGCCCCAGACCATGGCACTCCCACCACCATGCTTGACTGTAGGCAAGACACACTTGTCTTTGTACTCCTCACTTGGTTGTCGCCACACACACTTGACACCATCTGAACCAAAGAAGTTTATCTTGGGCTCATCAGACCACAGGACATGGTTCCAGTAATCCATGTCCTTAGTCTGCTTGTCTTCAGCAAACTGTTTGCGGGCTTTCTTGTGCATCATTTTTAGAAGAGACTTCCTTCTGGGACGACAGCCCTGCAGACCAATTTGATGCAGTGTGCGGCGTATGGTCTGAGCACTGACAGGTTGACCCACCACCCCTTCAGCCTCTGCAGCAATGCTGGCAGCACTCATACGTCTATTTCCCAAAGCCAACCTCGATATGATGCTGAGCACGTGCACTCAACTTTTTTGGGCGACCATGGCGAGGCCTGTTCTGAGTGGAACCTGTCCTATAATACCACTGTATGGTCTTGGCCACCGTGCTGCAGCTCAGTTTCAGGGTCTTGGCAATCTTATAGCCTAGGCCTTCTTTATGTAGAGCAACAATTCTTTTTTTCAGATCCTGAGAGAGTTCTTTGCCATGAAGTGCCATATTGAACTTCCAGTGACCAGAATGAGAGAGTGAGAGCGATAACACCAAATTTAACACACCTGCTCCCCATTCACACCTGAGACCTTGTAACACTAACGAGTCACATGACACTGGGGAGGGGAAATGGCTAATAATGCCAAATTTGGACAGTTTTACTTAGGGGTGTACTCACTTTTGTTGCCAGCGGTTTAGACATTAATGGCTGTGTGTTGAGTTATTTTGAGGGGATAGCAAATTTACACCATTATACAAGCTGTATACTCACTACTTTACATTGTAGCAAAGTGTCATTTCTTCAGGGTTGTCACATGAAAAGATATAATAAAATATTTACAAAATGTGAGGGGTGTACTCATTGATATATTGTAGACCTAGAATTCAGCAGTGTTTTGGATTCCATTTCTTTCATTTGAAATTAGCCTTCTGTTTTGGTGCTGGATATTCATTTGGTTCACTCATTTTCACAGGTTTAGCAAGCCAAAAAGGAACACTAATGGGGATCTTAAGAAGTCTGGGGGCACTTGCAAGAGCTGTTGGACCAGTCACATCAGCAACAGGTAATTGCATGCATGCATGTGTATTGAAGGTTGTATTGATGACTGTTGTGTTCAAGATAGATTGAAGAACTTTGTTCTGGACAGATTTCATTAGGGAGAAGACTGTTAGAAATAATTACATTTAATATGAAACTCGCACTACCTCTGTCATGCGGATTTTACATTTTTAAATGTGTTTGTCATCAAAGTATGGTCAGCAATAGCATTATTTGGTCAACATTATACTAAGTAGCTATCATATACCTACTCCAAATGACCGGAACGGCAAAAGACAGAGACATGCCAAGTAAAAATGACCTCCTTGCAGAAATGGTAGATCAATTCTAAAACTTTGCAATGAATTAAATACATACTGAATTCAAACAATAAGACCATAAGAGTTCTAATTTAGAGATTTCACAATGAGGATAATAAAGTGCTCAATTTGGGCAGAAAACACAGAGGGAGAAAGTAGTCCAAATCCCATACAGATGAGGTTTTGAGGCAGTGGTACACAGAAGTAGATTAAGATTCTAAGAAACATGACAAAGAAATTGCATGCAGAATTAAACCAAAGAGGAGAAATAACTTGATTATATCTGGAATATAAGAGCAAAGTAAAGTGAGTGTTTCATAAAGTTGATGACTCTTCACGCAATCAAGCACATCAAGTGGAGACTGCACAACTGGCCCCATTGAAGTTATTTTTCTATTATGTCATCATCTACCATGTAAAAAGTAACTGTTGTTAGAAGCCTCTGAGTTAAGATGAGAATGTTGGAGTGCTTGGTTTTAAGGGAGAACTTAGTGGGTGTAATGGAGATCAAGAGAATGGAGAGAACCCATGGGATATGACCAGCTTTTGATACAATCACTACAGAAAATAAGGAGAAAGGGTGTATTGAAAGTGATAGATCTCTCCAGTCTATGAAGGCAGAATTGCAACCAAACTGGGAACCATAAAAGGGACAGAATCCTCCATAGAATCACAGTGAGTAGCAATAGTAGTCTCCAAAGTAATTTAGCACTGGGAACATGTTTTCATGACCCAGACCATAACATTCAGCTTGAAATGGGGACCAAAACTATGGAAACATCTGAATGATGAAATGCTATAGTAATGAGTAACATCAGTTGTCCCTCACATTGACTGGATAAATATGTCTTCTAATCATGATAAAGAGGTTCCATACCTTGATACCCTAAATCAGAAGGTAGAAACATAGAAACAGAGCGAGTCAGAAGGTGCCTCCCGGGCCTTCTAGTCTGACTCCCAGCTCCAGCCGGCTCCGCTCATGACATGACTACCATGTCTACCATGTTTCCCCATCCTTGGAACTTTAACTTCCAGAAGTACCTGCCAGCATAGTGCTATCAAATTTAATTTCTATTTAAGTGAAATATTGCCAAGACAGAGTCACATTGGACTTGGAAGGAGAAATCTTCTTTAAAATGAATGAACTGCTTAAAACATTGAAAGGGAACGAGTAATTATTTAAAACCACAATAAAAGAATGTATTCTGAGAATGTATACTGTAAATGTATACTGAAGGTCAGGAACAGGCATTAAAATGGCCAAGCAGTTCAGCAGAAGCAAGGGTAAAAGTTGTGGTAGCTCAATAAAAATGCCAACTTTGTGTTTGGCAGCTGCTGTGAAAATGTCAAATTCCATGTTGATCATAACTATAAAGAGAATTGAACATAACAGTTCTAATATTGTATACAAAGCTAGGAAGTGATCACACTTGGAATATTGTGTAACATTCTAGTCATAAAAGAATATTGTCAAGTTGGAAAAGACACAGAAAGGGCAACCAAAATGATCAAAGGGCTGGAGCAGTTCCTACAACTGCTAAGGAATAATTACAAATGGTGGGACTGTTAATTTGGGTGGGGGGAGGCAAGAACTGAGTGACATGAAATTATGCATGATGTGGACAAGGTGGATAGGAAGACATTTTTCTCCATCTCTCATAATACTGGAGGCCAGGGTCATCCCATGAATTTAAAGGTGGGAGGGTCAACACAGATAAAAAGAAGTACTACTTTACATCACATAGTTAAACTATGGAAATCATTGACAGAAGATATAATGGTGGTCATGAACTTTGATTGCTTTGCAATGAGCTTAGACAAATTAGTGGAGGGTAAGGCTATCGATGAGTGCAAGTCATAATGTCTATATTTTATTTTTGGTATCAGAGGTAGTGTTGCTTTGTATGCCAGTTGCTGAAAACATGAGTAGGAAGCTGTGGTGTACTCATACCTGCTTGTGGGCTTCCCATAGGCATCTGGAAGGATGCTGTGTGGACAGAATGATGGACTAGATGGACCTTTTGGTCTGTTCTCTTTTTATGTTCATAAGATGCCATATGCAGGTAATTGATACAGAAAAGCAAGGCTGAATGTAGTGTGCTATGGTTGATTGAAAGCTCTGATCACAATGTGATTGGGTAAGCTGCCAAATAGGTGAAGAATCTCTAGCACTGTTAGAAAATTGACTCCTGATACAAGTGTTTATTCAGGAAGCATATCACAAACACCATGAACAATGCCTAGCTTAGGGCCTAATACCCAGCCTCCAGATTGTCCATTCCCCATTCAGCATACAGAGGCTCTCTGAATTCCTCCAGCTGGGTGGACTTGACCTCCAAGCCCCATTCCCTGGAGGTATCCCCACTGTGTGAGTGCTACACAGAGGAATCACTGCTCTAAGCTCTCTTTGGAGATAACAGTGAATCATGTGAGCTGGAGACTCATTTGTGTGACATCTCAGTTTGAGTCTGTGCCAGGAACACTCCTCCAGCTGCCAGCTCAGTCATAGTGGCTTTTAGAACCTATCATATAATGATATCCTGGGTTATGTGCCAGCCAAACACCATGACACCTGGGAACCAAATAATGCCAATGTATGTGGCCATGTCCCTCAGGTGCATGTGTTCTGCAAAGGAATGGATGGAGGAACTTCTGGCTGCCCTGCCTCCCCTGCCCCAAATTTGGTTATCCAATCCTTTTTTAAAACAAGAGGAGTAACTTGTGCCTTCTGTCTTGCTTTTAACGTAAAGGAAATAGACAAGGTCAGCAGGGTCAGGGATATCTTTTTTTTAATAATTAGTTTTATTCAAAATAACCCCTAATACAAAGAAAAACTAAAAACAACATCAGTCATCAGAAACATCGGAACTGCTGGGTCAGCCCCCACATTTTTTTCTATTTATGATAACTTGAAAACATATTTAAATCTATATGAAGTCCTGTTTCTCTATCCAATAATAAAAAGAGTCCCAAGTTTGATAGAAATCAGTATCTTCTTTCTCCTTCGATGACAAAGTCACTCTATCCATTTCTGCACAGTCCCAAGATCTTTTTTAGGATCAGTTCTTTGATGGGTGTTTCTTCACTTTTCCAATGCTGGGCAAATGCAATCTTCACCACAGTAATTACATGTAAAATCAAGTACATTTCTTGTTTACTAATATCAACAGGTATAATGCCTAATAAGAAAACTTCAGGTTTAAAAGCTAAGGATTGTTGTAGCATTTCCTCAAGCCATTTATGTATTTTAATTCAATACTTATTCGCATTATTGCAAGTCCACCACATATGAAAGTACCCAATTTATGTTTACATTTCCAACATCCATTTGACATATTTGGAAACATCTTAGCTAATCTATTTGGTGACAGATACCATCTATTAAACATTCTGTACAGGTTTTCTTTATATGAAGTTGCTAATGTTATCTTAATATTTCTCTCCCACAGCTTTTGCCATTTTCCAATTCAGTATTATATCCAAAGTTTTGTGCCCAAGTTATCATAGTTTCCTTAACCTGTTCATCTTCCATTCTCCTTATCTAGTAAAAAATTATATAGTCTTTTAATAATTTTCTCATCTGATTTAAGCATCACCTGATCAAATGCTGTTAAATCTTTATAAAAGCCCCATATTCTATAGTCTTTAGCATATCTCGATTGTATCTGCACCTTATGCCACCAAGAAGTATTAGATCTGTGTTCTTGTATTTCTTGATTTAATTTCAGTCATCATTATCCAAAATGCCGTCATATCTTACGGTCGCTTCAAAGTTCAATGCATTTGGATATACAAGAGCTTCCATAGGTGAAAGCCATCTTGGCAATTTATTATACAATATTGTCTTTAACTTTTCCCACACAGACATTAATGATTTCTTAATATAATGACTTAAAAAGGAGCCATGTAGCTTAGCCTTTTCATACCACATATAAGCATGCCAACCCATTTGTAAATCATGCCCTTCGAGATACAAGATTCTCTTATTTCTTAAAGTTATCCATTCTTTTAGCCACGTTAAAACAGAAGCTTGATAATACAACATCCAATCAGGGAAACCAAAGCCCCCTTTCTCTTTAGCCTCCTGAAATATTATTAGTTTAATCCTTGGTTTCTTCTTTCTCCATATAAATCTCGAGATTTGAAAATTGATATCATCAAAAAAATTTCTATCACTTTTTATGGGAATCATTTGGAATACAAACAAAAGCTTTGGTAATATATTCATTTTAGCTAGTGCTATTCTTCCCAGCAAGGATAATTGCAAAGTAACCTATTTTTCCAAATCACTCTTAATTTCCTTAAATAGTTTATCACAATTGTCTTCTTTCAGAGTGTTACACTTAGCTGTAAGAAAAATTCCCAAATATTTAACCTTTTTAACAATCTGAAAGTCTGCTTGTTCCACCAGAGTTTTTCTCTGCTCCTGTGTGAGAATTTTTACTCACAATTTTGTCTTTTCTCTGTTTATTTTCATCCCAGTAACCTCGCCATACTCTTCAATCCTTTGTAAGAGTTTAGGCATTGTTACTAAGGGTTCCTCATTTATGAAAACTAGGTCATCTGCCAATGCTTGCAGTTTATAGCTTTCATCTCTGAATCTAGTACCTTTAATGTCCGCATCATCCCTGATATTTCTGTTTAACACTTCTAAGATCAATATAAACAACAGTGGTGATAGCGGGCATCCTTGTCTTGTACCCTT